TGACTTGGACATTCTATCCTGCCAAATTAAGATCCGAAGGAGAGGCCTTAACTGTCAAATGTGAAAGTAGGATTTCTGTTTCAGCAAACCACACATGGGTTTGTCTTTTCAGCTCTAGAGAAGTCGTTTTTTAAAGGGTTTGGCTAGCCTACAGTGCAATAATCAATCTTTCGTCCCTGGAGACCAGGCTGCTACAAATCTTACTTTAGGTGAAAAGTTGAAGAATTTGATTAGTTGGTCTCATCCCAGCTCCCCTTTTCCCACATTTAACAGTTTGGCACAAGTCGCAATCTTTTGTTATGGGAGGCCCAAATTTGAAACAGTGGGGAAATTTCTGTTCAGAATCAAAGTATCTTGACAGCAGTAAGTGTGCTAGCTTAGACATAGTCATTTTTGTATCTAGCTAGCTCTGTTGATCTTGTAGTGACAGAAGCATATTCCTCTTCAGGGTGTGCAGTGCTTCCAGTGGAGCATTTTTAAAAATTATTTTTTCATTAGAATATACAGATTTAAGAGTCCTATTATATCAGACCAAAGTCTACCTGATCCAGCTTTCTGTTTCTAAGTATGGCAGTCAGGTGCCTCTGTGAAGCTTACAAGGAAGGCATAAAGGCAACACCTGTCCCCTGTTGCTTGCCTCCAGTAGACCACATCAGACAGCCATTGGCCCTAGATTAGCTTTTTCTTAACCATTTGGCTGCCATTTTCTGTATGCTTTCTATTATACCCTTCCTCTTGGTTCCTTGAAGTTCCAAGATAGCTCACAATCATGCTTCAGTAAATAATCCATCTATTTAAATGATTTTGTGAACACAAACTAAATTAATAAATGATGGTTGGTAATTGTGAGAACAGACTTAGAGTGTTGTGTCCCCCCCCCACCTCTGGATTAACTAACAAGATGCTTAATGCAATTCTATGTAAAGCCTACTCATTTGTGGTTTCCACTGTTCAATGCAGTTTACTCCTTGGATAGGTGTACATAGCATTTCATCCTAAAAGAACATGCAAGGTTAATTCCACAATTTCCTATGTGGCCCAAAGAGATATTGAATTACAACAAAGAGCCCTTTCAGTTAAATGTTTGCTTAAGGTATACTAATTTATACAGTTGTACCTTGGAAGTTGAATTGAATCCATTCCAGAAGTCTGTTTGACTTCCAAAGCACGGCTTCTGATTGGCTGCAGGAAGCTCCTGCAGCCAATTGGAAGCCACGGAAGCCCCGTCGGAAATTCAGCTTCCAAAAATAGTTCGCAAACCGGGACAGCCACTTCCAGGTTTGTGGTGTTTGGGAGCCAAAATGTTCAAGAACTAAGCTGTTTTCACACCAAGGTACGACTGTATAGTCCTTCATAGGGCTGCTCTATTTAAGCACAATAGTTTGTTTCCAGTTGTGTCCATCCACTCATGGAAAGCTTTCTTTCAGCAGAGGCTTCTTTGAACAGAGAAGGAGGAAGCTCTTTTGACAGATTCTTCCTTCCCTGTAGAACTGCTTACATCAGGGGTCAGCAAACTTTTTCAGCAGGGGGCCGGTCCACTGTCCCTCAGAACCTGTGGGGGCGGAACTATAATTTTTTTTTGGGGGGGGGGGAGGAACGAATTCCTATGCCCCACAAATAACCCAGAGATGCATTTTAAATAAAAACACACCAGGGAGACCCTACAAATAACCCTGAGATGCATTTTAAATAAAAGGGCACATTCTACTCATGTAAACACACGCTGATTCCCAGACTGTCCGCGGGCCAGATTTAGAAGGCGATTGGGCGATTGGGCCGGATCCGGCCCCCGGGCTTTAGTTTGCCTACCCATGGCTTACACCCTTCCCCCCCTCTTCAATCTGCCCCAGAGGATTGGGGTGCTTTCTAGAATTGTGTGGGTGGTAGTGCATGGCTGCTGCAGGAGTAAGGAGGAGTATGCCAAAATCGTCTCCTCCCCACTATTGGAAATAAATTTATTCTACCTAACAATGACAGGATTATTTTTAAACATGATTTGGCAACTTAGTTAGAATATAGGGAAAGAATCCTCAGTGTAAACTAGTGTTCTGTGCTATGGTCATTTTTCTTTATGCCATACTAGGTAATAACATTCTGAAATATTACTTTTATGGTGGGAATGATTACTTAAGAAAACACTCAAAGCATGATGGAAGACAGTGAGAAATGAGCCTAATCAAAACGAGCATAAATTCTTGCAAACAGAACTGATTTTACCAAATTGTAGGGAAGGGATGGGCGGAGGGGAGAGAGAGTACTGCCTGCCCTGGGTCTGTTGAGGGTGCTTAAAATTGATAATCCTAACCTATTCTTTGCGTTTGCAGATGTTTCCTTGTTATGGTTGCAAAGCATGTGGATTCAACATTTCAAATAGGTCCAGTATTTGCTTATGTTATCTAGTGTTTATATGTGCCAAATTGGAATTTTATTTTGAAAGTGCAGACATAAAAATACACTTGGACAAAAAGACATCTGCCAGCTTGCTATAAAGCCCACATTTTAGCAATACTGTCAGGTTTACAGTGCTATTAGTTGGCTTTCACTACAATTTATTCTCTGGCTCCTATACTGTCAGTGTGCTCATTTTGTGTGTGAAAGAGAGGGCAGGGAGAGGAAGAGAGGGAGAGACTGCTTGATTTCCATCATCTTTAAAAGATCTAAAATGTGTAGGTTCATCCATGAAAAAAAAAAATATATATATATATATATGAAGAAATTCAGCATAGTGCTAAGGAGATCGCTCTGGCAGCAGAAGCATTCCTGCTTGCCTGCTGGAATGATCGGCCCTCTCCCCCTCACCCCCCCCCACTGTTCCAGGGGTTCTGCCCTCAATTCAGTTTGGGGGCACATGATGAGTGTGTGGGAGGAGGGGGAGGAGGAGAAAGAAGAGGGAAAGCCCTATTGTACTAGTGCAGGGATGTCCAACAGGTTGATCGCAATCTAGTGGTAGATCCCCGGGAGGTTTTGGTAGATCATGGTCGATCGCTGGTTCCCTTTCCTTAGCGTTGGTTAAATTGAATCCAGCCCCTCCCCTCGCCCTGCCCTCCATTGTCACACGATCTGCGGAATGTAAGATGGAGTTTAGTCAGCAAGTGAGTGGCTGTTCCTTTCTCTCCCCAAGAACCCCCCAAAACGGGGCTATCCTTCTCCCTTAAAAAAGGTCAACAACTTTGACCTGAACCACCCAAAAATGGAGGTAGATCACTGCCAGTTTTTAATTCTGTAAGTAGATCTTGGGAGTTGGCCACCCCTGTGCTAGTGGAAGTCTTTGTGCAAGCTTCCACTAGCAAGACTAGTTGGTTGGTTAGTGTATTGTTGCAGGGTGATAAAGAGTTTAGAGTTGCACTTCATATCCCAAAATGTGGTAGAATATAGAAGGCCCCTCGCACTGCACCACAGCCTCAACCCATCATTCACACTCTCCCTCTCATATGCGCGCGCACACACATACACACACAGAGTACATGCATACACACCAAACCTCCACCATCACAAAACTGTCAAATTTATTCCATTATGACTGTGTTATCCTTTCACTTCTTGAACATATTTAATAGACTAAGAACTATGACTTCCATTTGATAACATAATATAGGGAGCAACAACTGAGGACGGAAGGGAGGTGCTATTTGGGCGTGAAAGGAAATTTAGCTCTAAGGCCCTTCGTGATAAGCAGTTCTTACACATTTCCTAAATAAAAAAGAATTTGAGTGCTGAGTGTGTTCAGAGATTGGGTGGGGGGGTTGTATGTGTGCACTGCTGCACACTGCAGTTTATGGGGAAAACAAACCAACTTTTCAGGCATATGAGCAGAAGACCAAGTATTAGAAGGCCCCTTGTTTTTTGGTTTTCCTCTCTGAAATGCCTTTAGATTTTTTAAAGATCACCTTATAAAACAGACATCCATTAAGTTCCAGAAAACACGCAGAGTATTAACTTGTGCAAAACTAGCCCTGGGAAAGAGCATGTTTTTAAATACGTGGTCCAATTAGTTCTGCCGCATTTGAGCACTTAAAGAAAGAGCAATTACAAAACACCTCAAGTTGGGGGGTGCTGAATGGATTGTGGGCGTTTTTTCTCCTCGTGGTCTCTCTCATGGAATGAAATCCTGTTCAGTTATATTCCACCAACATCTCACACACAGATTTAATAACTCTTGCCAATAGTGCCAATTTAGAAACAACAACCCATTGCCGAAAAATGTAAGTTTTTGTTCATTTGAAATTTGTGCTTAGGGTTTACAGAATTTTATGATTATATATTGGTTCTGGTCAATAGGGTGTTTTCCCCTCTTAACTATTTTTAATTTCAGTTGTGTTGCATTTAGCTTCCTTTTCTTAAAAAAAGAAACATTTTCAGTACGGTATATTCCTTAGGATTATAGGAAGCTGCCTTATACCAAGTCAAACCTCTTGTTCCCTATTGCCTCTGCTGACTGACAGCAGCTCTCTGGCAGGGGTCTCTCCCAGCCTTCTCTGCAAAGACCAGGTATTGAGTCTGGGGCCTTTTGCATGCAAAGCAGATGTTTTACAACTGAGCAATGGCTCTTAAAAGAACCAGTGCAGCGTATCAATTCCTTGGGGTGATCTATGTCAGATATTTCACTCTCCCAGACAGCTGAGGGCATCTTACATACAATGCCTGGTGGCCATCCATCCAAGTTGGATAAGACAACAGCTAAGAATGCCTTGGGCATCCTCCTGCTCCTTTGTTCATCTTTTGGCAGCTTTAATGGTCTTAATTGTAACCTATTTCGCAGCTTCATGTTCCTATGATCTGAGCAGCATGGGCTGATCATGTCCTAAAACCTACATGTTGAGAGTCTTCATTTCCCAGAGACATCGAGTTTACTATTTACACAAGGAGAATGTTTCCCTGGTGACAGCTTTCGGCTCCTCTGGCAATGTTGCTGGTCCGTTTTCTGTGCGAGTGCCTTTGGAATGCACTGTGTCTCACTGAAGAGGAGTCTTGGTCTCTCACTCTTTCCCTCTATTTCTCAGGGGAACCATCTGGACACACCGTGTCTTGTTTCTGGAAGAGAGAATCCTCAGTCGGTGGACTTTCTTCACCATTTGGAATGCTGGCAAACAGGGAAGGAAGCTCTTTAGGAGCTTGACTCCAGCTAATCAGAAAAAAGTGAGTTTACAAGGAAAATGCACACATGAATGCTGCTTAATAAATGTTCATTCTTGCTGCCATATATTTTAATATCCATTTACTTAAGTTTCATCCTTCCACTTATTATCTCGGTATGAAGAAATACATAGCCATATTTACACTGCTGGTGGGGTTTTTTAAAATGCTAAAATAGATTTCAAAATGGCATAGCTGAGACGAGATGCCATCCTAAATGCCCCATAAAAGATACTTTTGGGTGGCGCTGGCCTTGCTGTGTCAGGTTGTCCTGTTCATGTGTGACTTGTTACCCTTTCAAGCATGCACCATGACTGCAGTTGTAGGCTTGCTCACATGTGAACACTGAACACAGGTGCAAGCTGTGTCTATACATGTGCAAATGTTTGTGTAAAAGAGCACACACTTCTAGAAAAACAGCACTGCTTGCTTTGATGCCTTCCCGGGAACAGAGCAGAATAATGCTCAATAAATAGCCAACTTTGTTTAATCTCCCTGCAAACAAATCAGGACGAACGTTCAATAAACAGGTTGTCTGGAAGCAACCCCACTAGAATCAAATGACTCCCCCCCCCCCTGTAACTAGCCTTGAACCATTAATGCACTCCCAAACAAATGCGGAGAGAAAGCATGAGAAAGAAGACATGATAACCTGTTTAATCAGCAATCCTGAGACCACCCATCCAGGCAACGGGAAGGACACATACAGCCCACAAAGCGCAGCACTGCAGATTTTGTCAAGACAGATTTAGTTAACAGAGAATAATGTATTGTCACTAACTGGAGTTAAAATGCATTGGAAACCAGGCCCTGAAAGCAGACAACAACCAGTGCACTGAGTCTGTAATTTCATGGATTATATTATTATTTTTATTAAGGTGGGTAGTGCCTAAAGATGTTCAACACTATACAGAACATTTTAAAAGACAGGAGTCCTGCCTGCAGGCTTACAGCCATTGGTCATCTGTAGAAAAGTCTGATTGTAAGAAATACTAAAATTAAACTATGCAGTGGTACCTCGGTTGCATCCTGTGGCCCCCCTACACGTCTTTGACTGACTTTTGGATTGCACTTTCAGTTGAATTTTAAAATGTATTAATGTGTAATGCAGTTAATGGTAATAGCACATTATGAAAGCCCCATTTAAAATACAGCGGTGCCTCAGGTTACATACGCTTCAGGTTACAGACTCCGCTAACCCAGAAATAGTACCTCGGGTTAAGAACTTTGCTTCAGGATGAGAACAGAAATCGCATGGTGGGGGCGCAGCAGCAGTGGGAGGCCCCATTAGCTAAAGTGGTACCTCAGGTTAAGAACAGTTTCAGGTTAAGAACAGACCTCCGGAACAAATTAAGTTCTTAACCCGAGGTTCCATGTATAGCCCTTACTAGGATTTCATCATAACTAACCATGTGAATACAAGCATACAGGGGTACCTCTGGTTACGAACTTAATTCGTTCCAGAGGTCCGTTCTTAAGCTGAAACCCTTCTTATCCTGAGGCATGATTTTGCTAATGGTACCTCCTGCTGTGCGCGCGCCTTCCGCTCACATCCTGGGGCAAAGTTTACAACCAGGAGCAACTACTTCCGGGTTAGCAGAGCTTGTAACCCAAAACACGCGTAACCAGAAGCGTTCGTAACCAGAGGTACCACTGTATATAGTAAGGGATTGAAAACCACCATAGCAGTGTGCCTCCCAAGGCAGTGTCTGGAAGGAAGAGGTAGGAAATAAACAAACATGCATGCATTTCTGTCCTGCTTTGTGCAAGCTAGATGCGACTCACAGCACCCCTTATCCAGAAAAGGAACCAGACTGCAGAATATTCTGCTTCTGAATATCCACTTCCCACCTCTTAGTGAGAAAGAAAGCATACTTCTATACATTTTCCGGATGTCAGCTGAAACTCAGTTTTGGATAATCTCTCAAAAGCAAGGTCATCACCTGGAATCTGTGAAAATTGCCGTGAGGGAATATGCAGTTGGACCCAGCTTCTCGCTTGTGTTCTGTGGAAGCTGCACATGAACCCAGTTCTCCTGAATGCTTGTTCAGTGCTTTATTTGCAAGGCCACCTTCCTTCACTGTAAACTTAGCATTGAGTGGATTATTGCCAGCATGAGAAGCTTAAGTTCTGGACACATGCAAATGATTACTACTTTTTAAAGCTGACTGAAGTCTGTGCACTCCAGAATGTTGAGTCACCATAGTCACTTGAGTGCAGTTTGCAAAATGGTTTGATGTTGCTATGGAAATTTCATCATTTTCCTCCATCGTTGTGCAATGCTTTCTACAAAATCCCCTGATTTGCTTTCATTTATCTTGGATTCCAGCTGATGCAATTGTTTCAGAGACAGTGGGTGGGGACGGGGATTCAGTCTTACACAAGGCAAGACCTCTGGACACAGCAAGCCAGCCCCTGGGACCTCTTTTTCCAGCCTGTTGCTTGTTTAGCCCCCTCGCTTATCGGTTGAAATTCTCACTGGCGTGAGCAAGTTACAACTTCCAAAACTTGGCTTGCAGTTGGCTTCTTAGTCCCTGATAAACTTTGGTGCCATTTATAGAACTGCATGCTAGCAACTCAAGGTTGCCACCCACTGAGAGAAGCCGTGGTGCAAGAACAGAATGATGCAGCTGTCTGTGGTGTTTCGCCATCAGGCGAGTCAGCTTTTCCCCTTATTACAAAATGGAGAAGCTCTTCCTAGCGCTGGTGTGGCTCTGATTAACTGAGATGCTGACATTCTTCCAAGCTGACCTTTGCATAACATTTGCTTTGGCAACACTTAAGGCCAGGATATTATTTTGCTTGTATCAAGGTTGTAATTAGTCTCTTTTCTTTCTGCTTTATTTTGCTATGGAAAACAGCTGGCAGCATTAACCCTTACATTTCTGATTGTTGTTTTATTTTGATGGTTGTCTTTATTGCAGCTTTTTAAGGGAAACTGCTTACGACACACACCTCCTTCCCTCACATGTAGCTGTCTAAACAGGAGAGCGTTTCACTAGATTTCTGGTCAGTGCAACCACTCACATGTGTGTGAGATTAGCCTTTTGTGCTCAGTGGTAGAGATCTGCAGGGTACTGAGCTTTCAGAAGAGTCCAGTGCATGTTAGAACTTAGGTCCTTCCAAGTGAAGCACATAAGTTCTTATTGGATCAAATACATTGGGTCTTTCCTCTGACCAGAGTCCAGCAGACACAGAACTCCTGGTTTGGGTTTGGCTGTCCTTGCCTCTTCCTATCCGTAATCCCTGATCATTGCCTTTTCCCTCTTTCTGTTGACGTCAAGGTTGCAAGGTGCAAGGGGTTGTTTTTGTTGTGCTTGCTCCTTTGTCAAGCACTATGCGTTTATTTGGAAGCCATCCCATGCTGACATTCATATGCTGGGCAGCTGACCATGAAGATTTTGATGGCTCAGTATAAATAGTGGGATGGTTTTTTTGGAATGCATCATGAGTTCAATCCTGGTCTTTTACAGCTGCTCAGTGATGTAAACACCCATCCCATTGTGCACTGGTGGCTGTGTAGGTGCCTTTTCATGTCTGAGGGTAGCCTGGATAGGAGAAGAAACTCTAGTTTGAAGACCCTGCTGAACAACAACAGGAGGAATCAAACTGCTTCCCACCCACTTAGTGCATCAAACACTACAAAAGACAGAGATGTGTACCCTTGCCAGTCAGGGCACCTTTGTCTCCCACACACCCTGTTAACTGGAGACCATTTTCATGGACCAACCTACATAATGCCATGGAGTGATGCTTTAACGTTCAGTTTTATGGGCTTCATGTCTGAGCAGTTTTAAGGAAGCCCAGCTTCCTAGCTGTACCTTTCTCAGATTCAAGGGATTGACAGGGCAAAGTTATAACATTTCTGCAAGAGTGAAGCTGAACAGACCCTTTTTGTTTTTAAAAAAAACACATCCGATTCACCTCAAGGTTGCAGCTGTAGATAGAAACCCAGATTTTTACTGGATGCTTAAAGGGTCTGTTTTGTCTGCTTTTTGCTTGTCAGTCCAGCTTCAGCATCGTGAATGTTTGGGTTACTTTTATGAGCTTATTCCCCTTATTGATTCAACGCAAGCAGATTTAATGAGAAAAGCACAACATAAGCAACATAGGCTACACATATGGGAACGTGCAAGTCCATAAAGTTTTCTGTACTGGAGATACTATGCAATTGGATTTTTTTCAGACTTGTTTAAAGTTTATTCTGTGAGTTTATGGATAAAATAATGCATATCAGAAGGACTGTAAATGCTGTACACACTTCCTGGGCTTTTGCCCAAATGCCCAAATGTATCTATGCAAGCTCTGGCCCCAACACAGGCAACCAGCTACTCTTAAGATCTTCGTGCAGTTATGTTGAAGGTCTGAAGAGTATGCACGTTCAGTGAACTCGAGAGCAGCTAGTGCCCATGGAGCCTGGGTTTCCATGCACATATATATGTACCTGATTCCTGAATCCTTCCACATCAAACAAAAGGAGTGGGGAGATTATGGAAGGAAGTTGGACTGGGCAATAAGAAAAACATGGCCATAGTTGGTAGTTTCTTCTGCAGCAGACAGTTTGCTAACCTGGTCCCCTTCAGATGCTGCTGGACTCCAGTTCCCATCAGCATGGCCAATAGTCAAGGATGATGGGAACTGTAATCCAATAACATCTGAAGTACCAAAGGTTCCCTGTCTCTGATTTAGAATCCTGGTTTCCACTTCCCCTCCCCCCAAAAAGCATGGCTATTTCAGATGATTTTGCAGTTGGACCGGAGGCAGTCAAGTGCATTGGTGTCTGCCAAGAGCAGTGTCTGCTCAGTATACCAGACACCGTTTTTCACTCAACATGAGATCGTATAGGCATTGCAGGAGCTGTGGAATTATGACCCTTTCCCTGGAATATTGTGTTTTCTGATTGTTAGAACATTTGCCTTCTTGGTATATTTATGCAATACTTCATGCAGTCTTCATAAAAGACATAGGGGCCTACTGATGGGAGGGAAATAAAGTGTTTAGATCAATCCTAGTATTTTCAAGTTAGCAGTTTGTGTAAGCCCTTACCCAGAGTTCTGTTTATTGCATAAACAATTAGGCATAAATTCTTGCTACATGACTCTCCCCCCCCTCTAATTAAAAGGTAAATAGTGATGGCACAAAAATAAGCATCTTAAGACTAGACCACCCATGTGGGATATAGGTTAGTGCAGGAAGTACCTATTCCGAGACTGTTTGTGCACTATTTTAAACAGTTTCTGTGCTACCAAAGAATGAAAATTATGCATACAGAGGCCTCATATTTAGACTTCCATACATCTGATTGTGTATTGTAGGTTGCTTTCACTTCTTTTTACTGACAGAAATATTCATCAAGTGCTATGTTGGGTTTTTGTTTTTTTCAATGTTATGCCAAATATTAGTGCTCTAACTTCAGTTTTGTAAATTGGATCTGGGAGGCCTGGATTGTGGCCAAGTTGATCTCTCAGCCTCAGTTCTTCCTATGTAAAAATGGGAATAACAATGACGTGTTTCACAAGTGCTGGCCCTTAAAAAAAAAGTGCACCATTAATCCAGGCAAAACTGTATAGAAATTGGAGGCTTCTCTTTCACCTGCGTCAAAAGGGAGTTTCTTGTTATGTATTCAGGTACTACAAACCTTAAACAAACACACCACTATTTGCATTCTATATTCATTATTTTCTGGTTTTTATTATAAGTCGTCTTCTCGGTCAGATCTACAGCAAGGTAAAAAAATTGAGTGAATAAATACTAAACATACAAGCCTAGATGGCAAATCAAGACTTCAGAGATGGCTGTTAACGCCCTTTATTGCACTGCTCGTTTAGCCTGATCTATAAATACTGCATTACTAAACTTTTTTTGTAGATCCCTGTGTGGTTCTGCAAAAACATCATGTTCCATCTTGGAGTTATCACACCATCTTAAGCGCTTTACTGTTTCGTTGTAAGTTGTGTGTGCATAAAAACAAACAAACCCAGAAAGGCGAATATACAAATACTTTCAATAAATTGATAGAACCAACTTTAAGTTGAAACAGTTTATTCCCTCCCCTGATAGATGTGGCTTCTCTCTCCTTGGTTTTGCTTTTTTTCAGAATGCATTTTCTGCAGGACTAATATTCTTGGCTCTGGGTTGAGAGCTCATCAATCTTCCATCCTGCTAGCAGATGGATTTTAAACTGCTAAAGTGGCCACTTTAAGCTGGGCATAGATGCCCATGGGAATAGTGTGTGGAAGGAGAAATTTTGTTGATCTTGACCGTTTTTAGCAACTTGGTAGGGGTGCTGTGTGTATGGTCTCTGACATTTGGGCAATAGTTAAGATAACTTAAAGGCCAGGAAATGAAGAGATTGAGCTGTTCCTGTCATCACTGCCCATCACTGTACTGTGTTTTACATGTTTTCTTTCACTAGGACCTGGTAATGGCATGGAGGAAATAGTTTGGTTCATTAATTTTAATTTTAAACACATACAGACACCCCTGCCTCTAGACTTGCTTACGTTATTCAAGTAAATATGCACATTGCTGCCTGACTCTTGTATACAAGCACATTGTTGCTCATTGTGATTCACGCTCACTTATTATGGAACTATTGTTTTGTACTACTATTAAAACAGCCTAGTAGTGTGCGCGTGCACACACACACATGCACACACGCACAGATGTGTGCAACAATTAAATGAAATAGGTTCAATATCTCCATCATTGCTAAATAGCACTTGATCAACTGTTGCCCTAATTTTTCTTTTCTTTCTGGTCTCCTTTAGGTGGCTGCATTTTGTGATGTGGATACAAATAAAATCGCAAAAGGATTTTATACTTATGAAGAATCTAAGGTTGGTAGCTGTGCTGATAAATGTATGTTCTGAACTTCTTTCTGATCACTGTGGAGGAACGATGTCTAATAATGCATCAGCATCAGCTCTTTAATTCTTAATATAGTTGTTGTGAGAGAAGTTGCAAATCCCGCATGGAGAAGCATAAATGTTGCAGTCAGAAGACGTAATTGCTATTGGATCAAAATATACAAAATCAGAAAATGTAACTGCTGTTGCATATACATATACAAATTGGGATATATTGCTAAAATTCTCTATGTTGCCTGCTTTATTTGGGCTGCAAAATTGGGAACCACTGTAGAATTTGGATTTATATGTCAGCCCCTTAGCTGTTGAAGTAGAAAAGGAAATGGTAGGGTGCTTTGTGATAGATGTGAAAAGGGGGGAAAAAAAATCATCTCAGCTACTAGAAAGAAACACACTGCTCCTGTTTCTAAACTCGAGCAGAAACTGCTTATATTTTTTTCCAAGCTGGTCTTGCCAGTCATGAAACCTGGAGGTGGGAGGTGGTGGTGATGGTGGTTTGCTTTTTTTGAAAGAGACATTTGGCTTCTAAGGATTCTAAGCCCATGAGATCCTAGACTTGAGCTAGATTCTGAGAAGGGCTGCAGGATGGCAACAGATCCCACAGCGCATTTGGCAAGCAAGGGGACATCCATGCAAGCTGATATTTCATCTTGTAATATGAACATTGATTTGAGATTATTGGCCAGCTTAGCGCAGCTTTCTAAACAACCTTACAAAGAAATGGAGGTTTTGGTTTGTTACCAAATCGGTGGCCCATAGTAGAATGAAGGGCTCTCTGTCCCGTTCCTGAACACTAGCTGGCAGCCTTCACTCTCCTTATGAATGGCTGTCATCTTGGGTGAGAGTGAATAGTCAGAAGAGAATGAACTATTCAGAATGAAAAGATTGCCTTAGAAATACAGAATGGTGAAGAATGAGAAGCAAAACTAAATTTCTAAACAGAACATTTCCCACTAGGAAATCCAGTTCCTGCTGATTTTCCTCCTCTTTGCCAGACAGTTACCCTGAATGGGAGGCTGTAAAATTAATACAGTAGAAGAGGGGAAACTGGGGGGGTTTTTTTGGGGGGGGGGGAGAGAAGGTAGGTTGTGAATTAGCTTCTGTTATGTCAATAAATTAGGCCAGCTAAAGGAAGAATGCTGCTTCTGGGGCTGGATTCTGCTCATTCTGGCATCAATGGGAATTTGATGCCTGCTTAATGAGGGACCAGGACTTCATATGCAGAGGCTAAAACAATATTTTGAGGAAAGTGAGATATCTATGGGGGTATAATTTATATCTTTTTTGGGGGGGTAGGAGCCCTAAATGCTGCTTCATCTCAAAATGGCAGTCCTTGAAATAGGAGTATTTCCACTTAGCTCTGGTGAGGATAAGCTTAGGAGAGCAAAACTAAATTGTTGCATGTGAGCCATGTTGCATGTGAGCCACTGTAGCGCACAGGGCAGTTCGTGATCACAGAACCCAAATTAGGCCAGGAATTATGCCATTCAGTTTAGTGGGCTGCAATGCAGCTATGGAATACAAGCTGAAAAGAAATGTGCTTCTCTCCCCATAGGAAAATCCCAAGCCCAGAATCCCTATCCTACATTTCAGAGATGCTTCCCCACCTTTCATTATTTGTGTGAAGTTGGTGAGTATAATTTCATTATCTAAGGCAAGCGTGTGGAATCCACACCAAATTAAAAGTTGCGCCTTCAGTTGCAATAAAGCACACATTGAATAATTATTCCTATTTGGTTTCGTTTGTCCCAACTTGGGGCAATTTTTTGTCCTTATATTGGCAAGTAAAAGGAAGTGTGAAATTGAGGGTTTGGGCCAGGGCTGCACCACTACTGACTTTATATTTTTTGTTGACTGAAGCCCACCTGGTAAGCCAGAGCATTCTTTGCTGCCTTCAAGTGGTGCTCAGTCATGTCAGAAACACACAGAAAGAGGAATGCTAAAGTTTTAAATTACCTAGAAAAGCACCATATCAAAACCACTCACCCAAGCAAACTCATTTGTTATTGAGAGCTGCAGCTGCAGTTGCATTTTTTTTTTAAAAAAACCAATTCTTTATAAATAATGCGTCCTTCCTCCCCCAACCCCCTTTTTCCTTTTGTGTCTTTTCTATCATAAGCCCAGGGACTGTCTTACGGTATTTCTGATCTTTGTAAGCTGCTCTAGAAGTCCTCTTTTTTTACCAAAGAGAAGAATAAAAATGCATGCATTAATGAAATAAAAACACCTCCTTTTAAAAGGATGGATTTTAGGGCTCACTTTTCTGGCGTTACAAGGTGTCTTTTCCTAACTTCGTGAATAGTGACACTAAGGTGGGTGAGGGAAGCTATGTCATTAGCCACTACAATTTTGCTTGCGTTGCTCTAAAATCTGTTTTGTTTTCTTGAGAAATCAGCAGGCGAGGAATGATTTACCATGGCCCCTGTGGTTTAATTCTTGCCCTGCACTGTGAGAGGGAAACCACTACCTGTTGTTGTTTAGTCGTGTCCGACTCTTTGTGACCCCATGGACCAGAGCATGCCAGGCACTTCTGTCTTCCACTGCCTCCTGCAGTTTGGTCAAACTCATGTTTGGTAGCTTCAAGAACACTGTCCAACCATCTCATCCTCTGTCGTCCCCTTCTCCTTGTGCCCTCCATCTTTCCCAACATCAGGGTCTTTTCCAGGGAGTCTTCTCTTCTCATGAGGTGGCCAAAGTATTGGAGCCTCAGCTTCAGGATCTGTCCTTCCAGTGAGCACTCAGGACTGATTTCCTTAAGAATGGATAGCTTTGATCTTCTTGCAGTCCATGGGGCTCACAAGAGTCTCCTCCAGCACCATAATTCAAAAGCATCAATTCTTCGACGATGAGCCTTCTTTATGGTCCAGCTTTCACTTCCATACATCACTACTGGGAAAACCATAGCTTTAACTATACGGACCTTGGTTGGCAAGGTGATGATTTTCATTAAAGTTGCGTATCTCTCCTTAGTGATGGGGATGTGATAGTTAATGTTGTGCAAATTATCCTGCTACTCATAGATGGGGTGTCCTTCCCTCCACTCTGAACATTTCACCTAAACTGGATCAGCTTATTTTTCATCTGATGTTGCCAAGCAGAACTAATGCAGCAGCGTCAGCAGGCAGGTAGTAGAGTTAAACCAAAATGCTCCTCCCCTAGGTAAGAACTGATGCAAGTGTCCCTGATTCAAATCTTATAATAGGCATAATTTCACTGCATAGCATTAGGCAAGTCGCAGTTTCTCAGCCTCTGCAGTATGGGGGATAATGTATACCTGCTGTCCAGGATTCATTTGCCATAGTGTATGTGAAGCACTTTGAATACTTGGAGCATTATATAAGGTTAATTAGCATCAATTGCAAGAGTGGAATGGGTGTTGAGAAGTGGGAAGAGGACAAACGTTGTTTCTGGGAGCCTGCAGAAATTCATGGAAACAGCCTCTCCCACCCTCACTCACTCCCACACCACAATGATGTCCAAAAAACGCCAATTTCTATTCATTCTTATGTATACATACATGGAATATTGTCCATCACCTTGGTTTGGTTTAATGCAAATTTTTAATCATTTGTCTATAAAACGTTGAAAAACTTTTCCAACCTGTTTTTATCACCTATGAAACATGATTAATAGTATACTAAGACACAGATTTATCGAATATTGGTAGTATGCCTTGTAGATGAGCATAGATCAATTCAGAGAACGCACAACAAGAAGGTGCTTTTTTGATTACTGCTTAAAACTTTGGTTGCATTGAGAGTTGCATTTGTATTTCATGTCCTTTGCATTTCATGTCAGGAATTTTTAAACTCCCCTTTAAAAAACGCTTCACAGCAACTAAATGACTTGCCAACTGGAAATGCCTTTCTTCTGTTTCCCCTCCGTTCTCACTTTGCATGAAGCAGACCTTGTTTGGCTTCGCATCCAGTTTGAGCCGAAAACCTCACCCCGCCTCTCTTTACCAGCAAGAAGAAGTGACTTGTGGTTTCTAAAGGTTGGAAGAGTCCCCTCTTTGCAGGCCTGATGGCAGAGGAAATGGTTTCTAAACTGGTTAAAACTTGCTGAGAGAAGTTGAACTTTTGTTGCTCTATGGTGATATAATGCAGGCTAAGGATAAATCCGAGGATTCAGACCGAGATGTATTTCTGGGCCCCTTGAACTTTCGTTTCTGCACAGGCCACATATGAAAGAGGAGATAAAAACAAACCCACCACACTGCTGTGTATTTAATTTCCCCCAAATACATGAGCCCTTCCTCCTCCCCAGCCTCTGCTGACACTCCTGAAAGAGATGAAGGGGGAGATGCAGCACACAGTGAGCCCCGCAGACAAAGGACAGCAGGGAGTGTTTGGAGGGAGAGGGGCAAAAGAGGGGAAAATGCCACAGGCAGGCAGCCTTATTTAATGAGTAGCAGGAAGCCAGAGTAGCCCTGCGATGTTGCGGCACAAAAGCTGCAACCATTATAAGCTGCATTTAAACGTCAACATCTTATCTAGGAGATCGCATTGCAAACCAGGACTTTGCTGCATTGGGCAAGCAACGGTACAGTTGCTTTGCAATGTTCCATTTTGGACACCACAGTTCAAGAAACATGCTGGCACCCTGGAGAGGATTCTGAAAAAGTCGAGACATACTAATGAAAGGGAATGAGTACTAAAATTGCTGCAGATGCAAGAGATGCGAGTTCTCTGGTCGTAAAATAAAGTCAGAAGGTAGAGGCAAGAGAGGAATTGGACATAAGTGTTCATTTGATGAGAAGCAGCATAGCTTGTATATGATAGATGAAGATAAAGAGGACTTAGGTTTTTAAAATATTTTGGGCAGATGTGGTGGTGTGAGTTGTTAGTTTCAGTTTTAAAACATTCCCCAGATTCAGTGCGGTGTTTGCTTTCTCTACCCTCCTTTTGTTTGATCCCTGCTTATGGCCCACTGAGCCATGTATCATAAAGCTTAACCTTGTAGTCTCCTTGGTCGCTGAATGATCTGACCCAGAGCTTTCCAAACTGTGTGTCGCGACACATGGGCTGGGAAGGGGTTAGTTGAACCTCCAGTTTGCTAGTAAAATTGAATTACTGTGTCGTGAAATGATGCATGTCTAAAAAGTATGTAACAGACATGAAAAGTTTGCAAAGCTCTGATCTGACTTTTAATCAGGTGCCTTAAGCTCGTATGGTTTTGGTGTACCCAGACACTCACATGACCCAAATCAGTCCTGGATTTGGTCACATCTATCATCTGTATTTTTAACTGCAATGTGCCAAACGTGGAAGGCAGTAGCAAGTGATTGATGATTGATTTGTTGTTGTTGTTGTTGTTGTTGTTGTTGTTGTCATCTGGGTTATGCACTCACATGCGACTGCCACATTTATATTTTACTACCAGTAGGTTAAAAAGCATACACAGCATGGCCAGCCCATTTCCGGATTTATCAAGTTCTTCCAGCCACAGTAAAAACTATAGTGCTTAACTACATAGAAATCAGTGTCCTTAGGAGGTGCCTGGGGAAGAGGGTGTAGTGAAGCCTTGTGCATCCTGAACATCTCTAGCACTTCCAGCGTTGTTAGCCATATAGTCTTAGCAGGGTCCTGGTCCAGATGCAGAGGAGTCTGTACCAAGTGCATTTCCTTCCAAACCTTCCATTGCAGGTTAGATCTCATGGAATACTTTGCATCTCGATCCATTAGCTATGCAGCCCCAAGCCCAGGGATGAGATCCATGCAACCCTGCTGATTGTCATGAACCCAGCTGATCCTGCTCACCACATGCTGCGATAAGCAATGGCTCCTCAAGGGCAAAGTCTTTCTGAGTCCTGCTACAAAGACATCTTTTGAATAGGAGATGGCAGGGATTTATACCTAAGGCTGTGTACGTGCAGAGCATGTGCTCTGCCATTGCTTCCATCGTAATCTCCCTTGCTAATGGGCAGGGGAGCAGGGGGACATAATTTTTAATATCTATAAATTGTAATTTCCAAGTGCCAGTTATACTATTTTTGTTCCTGCCACGACCCTTCCTTTCTGCATAATTTCCACCAAGTTTCCTTTTAAATATTATAGGCTAGGTTTTGTTTTGTCACATACTTTGCAGTATGAAAGTAGCTGAATCCCCCCCGCCCCTGGCCAGTTTTTATTCAGCATCTCCCCCCCACATCTGCTTTGGGCCTCAGAAATTACGGTAGAAGCTTAAAAGCACAGAATGACTAGACACTCACTCACTCCATTTATCTTGCCAGTTCAGAAGTGGAAGCTATGCCAGATTACTGTCATGTAGTAACAAGGGTGTGAACTACGAAAAGGTCACAGGAGTGTGTTGATCTATAAATAGTTAATGCAGCACTGGCTGAGACTAATGGAATTGTTAGGTTTTATTAATGGTTTAGTATGAGTCTATAACTGGGCCCCTAAACTCCAGGGCGAATTGCACCCCTATAGATTGCAGAGCTGCACCACAGGAGTGGTGGGGTGCAATTTTATGGGCATTCGCCCAGGTATGTGGAGTGTCTCCATGACAGCACAGAATGTGCAGTATTCGGACTTAGGGGGCTTGCAATTGACTCTTAGTCAATCATGACAGGGAGGAAAAGTGGCGGATGGTAAAAGGAGAATTTGACAGCTTAACTGGCAGGCAGGGCCTGTTTAGGGGTTTTTGAAGCAGGATAAAGCAGTTCAGTTTCCTCACATGGGAGGAAGGTACCCAGAAAAGTGCTTGAGGTGTTTTATGGGCAGAGTAAAAGTGGATAGCCATACTAGGAAGAAATAGATTTAATAGAAGCAGTTCTGTGTGGGGAATTGTAACTAAAGTTATTGTGTAAACCCGAAACGGCGTTTCTTACTGAAAATAAGTATTGTGCCTTTAATAGTGAAACCATCAAGCGTCATCCCTTGTTGAGTTTGTTGATAAAAATACAGCTTGTGTTTCCATTCTGCCCCAGTTTTGGTTTGCGCCTAGTTCAGTGAGTAAGTTGTCGCAGGAACCCCAATATCAAGAGTCCTTGCTATGGAATTACATGCTACCACATGTAGAGAATCCCTGAATTGTCAGTTCTTATAGACAGGGAGTGACCAAGGCTTTAAAAGGTCAACAGACTTGGTCATGTTGCCACACTCTCATCTTCACTGAGTTTCACTTCACAAGGCTATCTGGCTTTGTGTCACCAAACTGGCAGGCCTCACTAAGTTGTAAGGTCTTTGTGAATAAGCTATTTAGCAATGGAGAATCTCATGAAGACTGTGTCTTTGAAGGAACCTGGCTGTCCTGGCGAAATTATCCAGAAGCAAGTATCTGCATTTTGGGCTGAGAGAAATAGGGTTTTTCCACCCACAGGAATGAATGGTCTGTCAGAGATTATGTGTTAAGATGTGGGAAACAGGCTCTCGTTTAGCTTTGGATGGCTGTAAGGCCTGGGCTGTTTGCTTTGGAAACAGTTTAAACCTATGGGTGGAACTTCTGCAATTGCCAGCTGTGCGGCGCACCTTCCATCCTGAAAGCAGCTCCTGGCTAGCTTGTTTTGGCATTCTCTTTAAAGTCTTCCTTGGTAGGAAGAATTACCCAGTGCACACCCTACTGGGTATTCAGTAAAAAAAATATTCAGCACGTGAAGGCAAAGGGTTTCAGATGGATCAAGCAGAGAATGTTGCTCTCCATGTTTCATTGTGCATGTCTTTAAAGTCTATCCACTTACGAAGCAGAATATTTTTTTGCTGTTGCCCTTAATCCAGTTTGACTCTGCACTACTTTTGTGTTTGGTCAAATTCAAAGGGAGAAGTGCACAATCACCACCCAACTTTTCCAGTTCTTTGTTCACGCAGTTGAAGCTTAATAATAGGGCAGATTTTTGAGGTTGCACAATGTCTTGAATTCTGTGATTCAAAAGGTTTTTAGGTTGAAGATATTGTATGCAGCTCTGTAAGGATTGTGTTAAGAGAGAAGGCTCACCGTCGCATGCCATGGTTTAATACGGGAACACGCTTTGTTAAGTGGTGGATATTGCTTTAGGATCTTCAAGTAGCAACTAGAATCCAGCTTTGTATATGCTTCCATGCAGGTATGTTCTCCTGACGTCTGTGGAATTTGCATGCACTTTGGGACTATCGAATTAAGGCAAAGCTTCATGTTAGTGTCCTACTTTTCAAAAGTGTTACATTACCCTTTATTCATACTCAGAAGCAGTAGCTCCTTTGTTGTTACTAATCTTAATGATGGAGTATTATTTAAGGCTAATCCCACTGGAAACATAAATTACAAGCACCCTGAAATTAAAGGCTCAAGAGAAATGCTGAAGTTGCGAATGATGTCATCTGCTTTTCTTGCCAATCACAAGGTTGGGTGGAGGGTATCATCACATCAGACTGTGCAGGTTGGCAAATAGGCACAAAGTTCCTCTTCGTACAGTAGGTAGGATTTGGAGGAATCACCAGTAGCCAGAGTTAATAGTCCAGTTGCTTGGTGAAAGCAGCTCTTAATAAAGAACCCATTCATTATGCAAAATCCACCAAATCAGCAATATGTTGAGCTGTCATCAGAATGTTATGTGTTTAAGTCGCTTGAAAAGTAGCATCTGTGGGTCAAAAATTTAGTGTTGCTATTGGGTCGTGTGTGTCCCCCCCCCCCCCCCGGTAGGTCTAGGTCCTCATCTGCAAGACAGTAGTTCCGGTAATAGCAATATTTGTGCTAGGGAGAAAGATTTTCCTTCACCTTAACCCATCTCGGTCCATTTTTAACCTCTACCCTTCGCTATCCTACTTTGCTTTTATGCACTCTGTTCAAATCATTATCACCATGAAAGCTGGTGTTGCTCACTTCCTGGTCAAATTAAGGACCTTGCATTCTCCTTGTCCTACCTATTACCTAGTATTGAATCCATCGTCGTCGTTTGGGTATACCAGAACATCAGGTGCTGGGACATTTGCTCTTACCTGTTCTGCAACAGATAGAATCCCACCCCCACCCCCAAGTCATTCACGGGAAGGGATAGTGCCTGATCAGAACTGTGCTACAGCACATTCTAAGGTTTATGCTGATACTGTTCAAGCACAAGGAATCTGCCTTTACAAAGCATCAAAGCAGTGTAAGTCTTCCCTCCCCCTACATTACTCCATAAAGGACATGGGGGGTAGGTCACAGAATATGTAGAATTCTATATGTCCAGGGGGTGGGGGACAGCAATGTCATTAGCATGTGCAAGTGTCAAGACTCCCCAGATGTTGTTGGACTACAACTCCCATCATCCCTACCTAGCAAGGCCAGAGCTCAAGGATGATGGGAGTTGTAGTCCAACAACATCTGGGGGCCCACAGGTTGAGAACCGCTGGTCAAGAGGGATGGGAGACCTGATGAGCTCTGATAAGCCAGTATTTATATGATCCATTGTACTGCCCCTGGCTATGCTCTGTGGTCATTTCTTATCTGGAATAATGAAACCTCTATTAATAGATAGTAATGGTTATAACGTGGATCAAATTTATTTCAGACTTGCATCCTCCACCCAAATATCCTGGACTGACAATAAACTCCCTTCAGGCTTACCAGTAAGATATGCAGGTATCCCCCATACAATGGGAAATGCTCAAGTTTAAGTCCTTAAATTATTGGACTTTACAGTGTGATTGTAGTCGAAATGTTCCTACAAGCTCAGCATGTTAGGAAGAGAATCCTACACACCCGTATTGGAATCAGTTCAACTGACAATGACTGTTGCTGTGACTAAACATTAATATTGTATGCTTGGATCACGGAAATGATGTGGTTTCATGCTAGAGGATTTACATAGTTTCGGGGCAGGAAAAGAAGCGAGGGTTGAGAAGGAAGAGAGAGCAAACTATTATCGGTATCTCTTAGTACAACCTTTAACTTGCCCACATCAACCCAGAGTGACTTACAACCAACCAAACAGACCAAAAGAAAACCAACCATATACACTCCTGTAAAGAAGGATCTTTGAAATCTAAGTATGTCAGACAGATTCAACTAATTGATCTTTTGTTTTGACAGGATTTGACAGGTGGACAGTTTGAGGAAAACTTGAAGCTGTTGAATCTGAAGGAAGCTGTGGATTATTATCATTTTAACTGAAGAATGTGGTGCACTGGAAGGCTTTATGTTGCTAGACAAACCAGAGGAGATGCTATCCTGTTTCTGCCCCCACCTCCAAAGGAATTCCTCAAAACAGGTATTAGTAAATTAAAAGGTGAAATACTACTTGTATTTCCTTAAAAAAAGGGGGGGACAGCTGATGGTGGAATGACAGCAAAGCTTAGTATACAATCTAAACTCTGCTGTGAATGCTGCTCTCGATCGGAAGGTGTACAGAAGGAGTTTCCCCCAGAGTTGCTAGCATTTCAAGGATGTCACTCCTTTGCACTATTCACACATTGTAAAGGAATAGCAGGATGAGATCCTGCTGATCCATTACAACCTGCACATTGGGGGAAATGAGACAAGTCACAACTTTGATGATTCCCCACCCTACCCCAGCTAACACATTGAAATGTCTAACATTGTAGGGGACACACACCCAATTGTTCTTGCATTGGTTTTTAGAAGGGTGCATTTACAGTTGACCTATGTATCAAGAAGTGGTGAATACCTGTGCAATTCCAGCATGGGCAGGAACAGCTGGAGGCTCCTCTAAGGTAAAGCCTTGCTATGCTGTGTGATGCATGTGGTTTATATGCAGGCTTAAAGAGGCTACACATTATCCTCAGGCTAGGTAAAAGTCGAACGTGAGAATTAGAATATAATTTTACATAAATGTGATTGGAAATGGTCTCCATTATATTTTTCCCCCTATTGTGAGATTAACTAGTCATTTAGGGCACTCCTGTTCCATAGTAGTGAAGTCCATTGTGATAACAAGAACTACTTCTACATAACCTTGCTGGTTGTTCCTCTGTATCAAAGGGAGGGGCTCACATTGGTTCTCCAGTCTAGACAAATTTATTTTGCACCATTTTTGCATAGCCAAAAATGGGAGGGGAGGGGAAAAATAACATTTCCAAAAACATTCTTTGGATGCTGCTCACAGCAGCTTATTGCCCCTGTAGCTCCAGGTAGGATATTTAAAAAACATCCCCAGGCTTTTCAGACGCAGTTTTAAACCTTCAGACTGTTTCTGGGCTGCTTTTCTGGTATTTAGCTTTGTTTTTTTGTAAAGTGCCCTAGGAATATAACTGAAGGGTGCTATATTATTATTTGTAATATATAATAAACTAAATTAAAACAGTCAGTATCTGAGCACTGCCAGAGAATGTTAGTGTATGGCAGGCTGAGAGTTTTCATATCAAATTGGTGGTGGGACAGGAGAGTCAGCTGTACTTCCTGTTTATAGAGGTAACATTTTTCCAGTTGAAATCACACAATGAATTTAGGTTATGATCCCATTGTTTTGGTGCCCTTCACACATGCCAAGAACATCAATAGTCCCTTTCCTGAACATCATTGTGCCACTGCTCTGCTAACATACCAAGTGTACAAACAAACCTTTTTGCTTGGTGTGTGTGTTTCTCTTCTTCCCTATACAGCAAAGCTGCTAGCTGCCCTTCTATGCACAGCAACTGGAGTTGTGCATTGGTTCTTCTTACAAAAACAGTGGTACATAATTTCATTTGACAGGATAAAGTCCCTTAGTGCATACAAATTGCCTTTACTGCATTAAATATTCACTGTAAACCAAGCCAACAGCTGAAGAAGATGGACTATACAGGAAACGCTGGTAGGATGATCTTTCCAATAGATGTTTAATCCAGTTTGGGGAAAGAAACACAAAACATCAGCATACATACTGAACATGAAATACAAGAGAATATCATGTGGCCAAACTGCCATCTTGTGGTTAGAGATTAAGGAGTGACTAGAAATATCGACTTTTGTTTTGTTAACATACATTTGAGTTTAAAACCCCTTCTGCACACAGCTTCTGAAAAGACGCTTCCACAATCCTGACTTTTCAAGTTGCTGTGACAGTAGCTCCTTCTGCTGTTGTATCTACTGCTCTGAAGAACTTGTTTTCCTAATATTGACTGTTTTCAATTATGTGCTCTGCAGAAAAGAAGGAAGAGCCGTGAGTTATTAACAGCTTATTTTGAAACAAAATAGATTATTCAGTTCCACAGATGTGGTGTCAAACAGTTAGCTTAGGCATCTTAAATCTATGCATAACAAATTGAGTTTCCTTATGGAAGGGATGATGCTACTGTACTGTGTATACATCAGTACTGATTAGGGCTGGGTGGTACCTGGTTTTTAACATCATGATATATCAGCAACTAAATACCACAATTTACTGATATATTACAATGTCTGAAATGTATCTCGGCTGCTTCTTCCTTCCCACCTTAGGGGAGGAAGAAGGAGCAGAGATACATCACCCAGCGCCACACTCCTCTGGCTTGTGTGAGCAAGAACATTGGGAAGGGGCTTGATAAGGTACAGTGGTGCCTCGCAAGACGAACGCCTCGCAAAACGAAAAACTCGCAAGACAAAAGAGTTTTCCGTTTTTGAGTCGTTCCGCAAGACGAATTTCCCTATGGGCTTGCTTCGCAAGAAGAAAGCCCATAGGGAAATCTCCGGGGACCTCTTTTAAATGCTAGCGGTGGGGAGCAAAGCCTTTCGCCCCCCTCCGGCCTTCAGAAGAGGTCCAGGAAGGCCGGCGGGAGCCAAAAGGCTTTGCTCCCCACCGCCAGCATTTTAAAAGCGGTCCGGGATAGCAGGGAATTGCGCTGCGCTTTCCCGGACCGCTTTTAAAATGCTGGCCGTCGGGAGCAAAGACTTTCCCCCACGCCGGCCTTCAGAAGAGGTCCTTTAAAATGCTGGCGGTCGGCAGCAAAGCCCTCCTGTCCCCGGAGCTTGCGGGGCGGGAGGTGGGGAGAAGGGCTTTTCTTCCCACCGCCAGCCTTCAGAACAGCCTTCTGAAGGCTGGCGGTGGGAAGAAAAGCCCTTGTCCCCCCACCCCAGCCTTCAGAAGAGGTCAGGGGACAGACTGTCCCCGGACCTGGTCTGAAGGCGGTTTGCATAGGAACGCATTGATTGATTTTCAATGCATTCCTATGGGAAACCGTGCTTCGCAAGATGAAAAACTCGCCAGAAGAAAAAACTTGCGGAACGAATTAATTTCGTCTTGCAAGGCACCACTGTATTGTAATTTTCGCTCTATAGGACGCACTTTTTCCTCTCCAAAAATTAAGGGGATATGTGCGTGTGTCCTATGGAACGAATGCAGGCTCCTTGGCTTCAGCGATAGCAACGCAAAGCCTCCAAAGCGCAGAGGGAGCGCTCCCTCCGCGCTCTGGAGGCTTCGCGTTGCTTTTGCTGAAGCCTGGAGAGTGAGAGGGGTCAGCGCAGCACCAACCCCTCTCGCACCCCAGGCTCCAAGGATAGCCTTTGGAGCGCAGCGGGAACTCGTGCTGCGCTCCGGAGGCTTCGGGTTCCTTGCCTGGGAGAGCAAGACACTCCTGGCTTCAGCAGAGAGGGAGAGCTGCGCAGCACCCCTTCAGCGAAGCGGGAGGAGAAATGGAAGGGGCTCTGTTTCTCCTGCCACTTCGCTGAAGGGCCCTGAGCAGAGGGGAAGATTTTTTTTTTCTTGTTCTCCCCCTCTAAAACAAGGTGCGTCCTATAGAGCGAAAAAGACGGTAAGTGAGCAGCTTCCCGTACCCCTCAGTTGATCAAGCCCCCCCCACTCCAGCTCACATGAGGCAGAGGTGGGGGGCTTCCTTAAACTGTTCCACTGGTGGTAGGCAGCCTCCCACCCACCCCTCAGCGGAGTAGTTTAAGGAAGCCCGCTTCCAGCTCACCTGAGGTGGCGGCAGGTGCACAATCTACACATGGCTGGACTTTTTGAGCTGCAGGTACATTGTGGCTCCCCAGCCACTGCCAGCACAGTGCACGCAGGGAGACGGGAGTGAGGTGTGCTCTATGTAGAGCCATGATGTATTGGCAGCTCAAAAATTGTGAAGCCGGTATCGTGATCTAGAAGCCATATCAGTTCCAGACGATTCCTTGATTTATCGCCCAGCTCCAATACCAATCATATTATTACAAATTATCTATTACCCCTGTTCAGAGCAACACATGTAAGCTCCAGTTGCTGATATCCAATACATTGTGGAGTGCAGCTGGGGCACTACGTAAGTTGCACATGTAGCAACTTTTGTATACCAAGATATGCCATTTTATTAAACTACTAGGTATTTAAAATATTCATTTGACCACTTCTCTTTATATTAAAGAGAGGGGTCTTTCATGGCTACAAGTTTATTTAATGAATTCAACTGTAAGCTTGCCCCCCACCCCACTAAAAAAGGTGAATCAAGGTCAAGAGAGTTGGCAAAAGATACACACATGAAATGTTCTTTCCTTATTTTATAAGGCATTCTGTGGTTCTCTTTGTGAAATGTGAGCTCTGAAAGCTGGATAGCACTTGCATATTTTTCATACACTCCCTCTGAAAAATAGGGTAGTAGGGGAATCAACCTTGTGTGAAAATTCCTCCAGCTTGTGGAGAGAGAAGCCTTCAGCTACAGCACAAAGAGATGCAGATGTGGCTGTCAGTCTTAGATCAGAGAGCCATGGGACCATTTTCAAATCTTTTGATACCGAGGAAATGCAAAACAGCTTTCAGGACTCAGCATTTTTTTCTCCTAGTTAAATCTTAACTTGAATATTTCTTTGTAATTGCTATTCCATCGTCACTTGGGAGGCAAACACAAACACACACAACCAGCAAATAGAATCATACTTAAACTATCACCACCAGTCATTCCTCAGAGAACAAACCCCAGCTCTGGCTTAGAGCAACAACTCGTCACTGCATGCCTCCATTGATGCTGCTGCTGCTGCTGCACAACCACTTTGCCCTCCACCAAACCAGGAACACTAATGTATTGTTGTATTCCTATTGCATATTGTAGGACATTTCTGTCCCATTTGCCATTTAACAGGTGTCACTGTAACTGCCTGGACATTACTTCTTCCTGAAAGCAGTATAAACCTCAGCACAAAGAAACCTGGAATTAAGTGCATATTGGGGACAGGTTACGTACCTTACATTAATGTAAACAACTGCAGCGAGCACTGCAGGTTGGATACAGCTATATTCAACCAGTACTCAAAACTACTTTGCGAAGAGCAGATGGGCACACACACAGGTCGCACTTTTCAAATCTCAAGTGTGAGAAGCAACTCTGAACGGGATACCACTTTATGGAATGTCAATATTTTCCTATTTTAGTTTAAAACCTCAAATTAGCATCGCTGAGGTTTGGTACTAAAAGAAACAACAGAGAATATGGCGTATTGTTTTCTCTGTCGCGGTTATCATAAAATTGTAGAGTTGGAAGGGACCCCAAGGGCCACCCTGCAGAGCAGGAATCACTGACAGATAGCTATCCAACCTGTTTGAAAACCTCCAGGGAAGGAAAGTCCACCACTGCTGTCAAACAACTCAAATATATGAATGGTTGTCAAATGAATGTTGGTCATTGATTGTTCATTTTCTGCTGTTTTCTTTTGGCTGCAAATATGTATATATATACACACTTGTTCATGGAAAATTTAAATAAATATTTTTTTAATGGCTCAGTTCATACAATAACATTAAGCCAAGCTCACATGGCTTAGTTTTGCGTCGCCCAGTAGCAGGACGAGGGGTGGGCATGAAGGAGCCATGAGTTCTACTACAAATACCTGAGCTGCACATATCCATGTTTTGACTTACTAAAATCTCACTGGTGTTTCTGCAATTATTTTGGAACAAATAATCACCTACCCTCCTCTCTTTGAACTAAAGTTGGGATCTAAGAGACAGATGCTATGATGTTCATATTTTCTTGTAAAATTCAGAGTGGAATTTAAGCCTGCTTTTGGAGCCAGCTGCACTGTATTAATTCATGCTCAAGTAGCTAAGCACCAGAAGTCTGGAATGCTTTCAAGAGAATAGAAGGGAGCTATAAAGCACTTGCTTTTTGGCAGTTCCACACATGCACATACTAAAGAGGGCTAGGCTTGAAGCAAAACTCTGAATATCCTGCCCTGAAATTGTGGGCTTTGCTAAATGTGCAGGTCACAAGTCGTTCCTGGAAGAATCCCCAAAAATATTCACAGTCAGTTAAATGGATCCTTTAAAATTTTTACCTTAGCTACTAGTTGTGGCTTGGGCACTTTCATTAAGTCACAGAGATAGTTGCGCTTATTCCTCAGAAATGACAATTCTGCATCCCTGTTTGGAGAGGGAAAATAGCATCAAGTTATACGGACAGATTCAAAGTCTATCACATCACAAGTACTTAAGTTAGCAAACTTTACTCCAACCCATTTAAGTAAACCTATGATGAATTAAGTAGTCCACAAACTAAGCAAACATAAATGCAGTTTAAATTCCCTACTTAATAAGCTGTCTGTTCTGAGCTCACTGGAGGCTCCATAAGGGCAGTAACTAAAGAGTAGGGAGAGGTTTTGATGCCACATTCCCCAGGAAATCTCTTCACTGCGCACCACACATACACACAAAGCCAGGAGCTGTGGAAAAGCCCCACTCAGGAGTGACAGCCCAGCTTCAGAAACACTGCCTGAAACTAATTGCTCTGGTCTCACTAGAAGCCCTTAAGAACAGCAATGATGGTGGCAAAAATGCTAGAGAGATAGGAAGAGGCCTCAACAGTAACATCACACAGCCTCGAGTGTTTCTCTTAGCAGCCAGCCACCAAAGGAGAGGAGTTAATAGATTTGTATTGTATAATTGTATAAGCTACCTTGGTAGTCAATTAGCTCAAAAGGTGGTGTATAAATCTACAACATAAGCAAATGCAGTTCAAGATCACTCCTTGCATCAAATGAAGTTTGTATTCCAGATTCATGTGAATTGAAAGTGGCATCAAACCTCCCCGGTCATCATTGTAACACACATTTGTCTGGTTGAATCTGCACTCCAACATGGAGGGTTAAATGTCAAGGGTTGGGAGTCAGCATAAGGTTGTAGGTGTGGTTGCATTAACTCACCAGTCAGTGTCACTTAGAATTGTCATGACCTCCTCTATAATATCCGGTTCAGCAATATCACTGTAAGTTATGAGCATTTCATAGACATTACTGGCTGTTGCCTTTCTTATCTGGAGGTAGAAAAAGGAATAGCTTTCAATTACTCTAAAGAGACTCAATGGTTGGATAAGAACACCCTTGTATCATGTCCAGAAAATCACAGGTTAACACTCTTATCTGTATGTACTGCTTGCTCTATACACATGCACTCCAGTCAACCAGCATAGTAAATTAGAATATACAGTCACTCTACCTTTCAGCTATGTAGGTCCAGAAAACAGGATACTGGTTCAATAGCCAGATATGTCTAAGAGTGGACTTTAAAGCTGGGTTATTTGCTGTGCATTAAACAACAGCACTGAGGTGAGCCCAACTGCTAAACTGAGAGCACTCTTCAAGGAAGATGGTAGTGATTTACAAACACATTATGGAAGAAGAAATGCAAATAGTCATGAAGTTGGCCAACTACATTTACAGAAATCCACACAAGCAATAAAAGATCAACACCTCCAAGTTCCTAACCAACATCTCCAATACTTACAACAGGAAACGGATGACAAAGGAGGAGGAGGAGCTGAAACAGAACTTTCTCTCTCATGCTGCCTGGAAACTGGATCAGACCACAAAACCTTTATAAAAAAATAAGCAATGTTATTTCATCAGTGGCTTTTTTTCATATTACCACAGAGGAGAAATTGTATTATTGAGTCCAGAAAGGATGTGCAATGTAGAGGAGGCCTCTGCTGCACTCTATCAGTGTCACAACAAACTCTGCAGAAATATATGCATGGGGGGAAATTGAGTTTGGAAACCGTTCTTGGAGAGAGATGTGCCAGATATGAGGCTTTAAAAACTAAAAGGTGCTGTATACTCACCTGACACTACAAAAAGAAGTTCTCTTGCATAAAACAATAGATAAGCATTTGCTAAACTGTGAAGTTTCACAAGAGAAGTACTGCTGATTTTCAGCCTATATATCCTTAACAAAGAACAGGTGAACGGACAGACACTGAACCCAGAGAATGTAGCAAACAAAGCTTAACAAATCTGTCTGCCATGTCTATCTCTCATCATGCATCTGAAAGCTGGTATCGGGGGGAGGGGGGGTTAGAACTGATTATTAGAACTGCAAAAACAAGAAGTCTTATATCTTAAAAAAAGAAACTTTAAAAGTTTCCATAACACACACTTAGAAAGATTAATTTTATGTGTGTGTTTTTAAAAAACAACAACAGAGCAAGTGTTGTCTAGTTCTTCAGTTGAATCAATCAATCAACTATGATGGCAGCAGATTTGCTACATGAAAGAAGTGAACAAACTTGAGAGAAGCACCTTACTAAAACAAGTGAACCATTAGCAGCAAGGTTCTAGAAATCCCCATCAAGTCCTACAAAGACCTCAGAATGTTGGTTATTTCAGCAGCTAGCCTATGGTGGTTGGTTATTTCAGCAGCTAGCCTATGGTGGGGAGTATCTGTAGAGCAGAGGTTTTCACCTTTTTGAGTACATGGCTTGTTTGACCAACTGCCTTCTTTCTGCGGCACCCCTGTGGGGCTCAGCAGCCCAGTTATGTCACCCCTTGCCTGCAGAGCGGACAGCCACTCGCCCTTTTTCAAACACCCTCCCTTGCGGAGTGTTCCCTCAGCCTTCTCTCTTCTCCCCTCACCTTGGGAGTCCTCTGGGCAGCCACAGCTGCCAACCCTGGTCTCTCCCCTGCCCCAAAGAGAGAGGCCTCCTCACACTGCCCCACAGGGGCCTGGGAAGCACCCCCTGACCAGCCCCAGAGGCACCATTTGCCTGGGGAGCTTATAGCCAGGGCTGTTGCAATAAACAGCTGTGCAAACTTTTGGGAGGCAGAGATGCAAGAGGGCATCAGGGGAGGGAGGGAAGGAAAGAGGGAAAGGGGCCAGTGTTGTCCCTGACTATCATTCAAGGCACCCCAGGGTGCCACGGCACACTGGTTGAAAACCACTGCTGTAGAGTATCACAATCCAAACTGCCCTATGGTTAAGGCCATACATCAACAGACTAGGGATGTTTTAGTTAGCAGTATTTGCTTTAGAATCAGTACTCATACAAGGTGCTTCTAAATTCCGTATGGCAACAATGCATTGGCACTTTTAAAAAAAAACAACAGAGTGAAATCACAAGATTGCTTTACAATGAGAGGTGAGCTTTTTGTTACATTTTCATGTGCCCCCCGCCCCAAAGCCACTACACAAATGCAATGATAATTCTTTCCTCAATGCACTAGGTTATTTTAATAGTTCCCTAGTTATCCCTCTGCTTTGTTACAATTTTTCCCCCAACTTACACTGCAATGCTGGAGCGAAGTTTCTGGATATCTTTAGATCTTCTGCTCTCTTCTTTACAGAGTGTGAGTAACTTCATAGGAAATGGGTGGCTGAAAATTTTAAGTAAACATTATTTCAGAGGGGACCAGTTCTCCTGAGTGTTGCAAACTGTGTTGGACGTTACATAAGCAATCACTAACCACTAAGCTGGCACAGTGGACTTCAGTTTGGGGTGCTAATATCTTGGCCTAGTAATCACATGCTGGTTAAAAAGGTAAAGGGACCCCTGACCGTTAGGTCCAGTTGTGGACGACTCTGGGGTTGCGGTGCTCATCTCGCTTTATTGGCCGAGGGAGCCAGCGTACAGCTTCCAGGTCATGTGGCCATCATGACTATGCTGCTTCTGGCGAACCAGAGCAGCACATGAAAACACCGTTTACCTTCCCACCGGAGCGGTACCTATTTATCTACTTGCACTTTGATGTGCTTTCGAACTGCTAGGTGGGCAGGAGCAGGGGCCGAGCAATGGAAGCTCACTCCCTCATGGGGTAATCGAACTGCCAACCTTCCGATTGGCAAGCCCAAGGCTCAGTGGTTTAGACCACAGCGCCACCCGCGTCCCTCCACATGCTGGTTAGTATGATATAAACCACTATTTTCTATGCCTAAAGCTTTGAATATATATATTTTTAATGTTATGTTTTAAGTCCGCATGGGAAAAGATTTCATGTAGCTCTTAAACTAGTTTAGACGCACAAACACATACACCCCTGAACATAAAGCTGGTTCAATAAGATTAAGTGTTTCTTAGTGTGCATATTTAGTGAAATCTTATCCAGAATCTCCATTTGTAAGCAAGGCTGCACAAAGCTGCACATGTGTAAATTACCCCTAAGGAAACACATTCTATCTGTATAATATTGCTGCAAGGTAGAGTGCAGAATGGATTCTGCATTCTTTGTTTCAAGCCAGGTTAACTTTGTTAGCAATTATGCAAGGCTGTGCATAGACAGGATGGAATTTATTGGAAATTAATTCAGTTAACAGGAGTGCTTGCTGCTTTTCAGCACAGGACAATGGCAATATAGGGAATGAGGTGTGATTTCCAAAGGAAATGACAATACAGGCATTCAGCAAAGAGGCCAATTACAGCTGAGCATCTGGAAAAAATTTAGTGCATGTAGTCTAATGTGTAGGATTCTGCATCTGAAATAGACCTGCTTTGCTTTCTGTCATCTGCCAATTCCACATTTGTAATAACTAACTCTAACCTATGGGTGATCTCAAATAGCACAGCCTCTCCAAAGGAAATTGAGAAAATTCCTTCTCCTGTATGGGCAGCACTCCAGCAGAAACAGGATCAGTGAATAGGGAAAAGGGATCTGTCTAAAAGGTTCTGTGTTATGCAAATTGGGCACACGTGTTCCTGAAAATGGAGCTTTTTTAAAAAAGGTGAGCAGCATTTTTACCAGATCAATCACGACATCACTCAGGGTGGTCCCTAAATCAAGAGCACAGAGTGCCCCCCAGATGAGAGCCTGCACAGGTATGAAATTACTGTTGTTAAGGAAAGCACCCATCTGTGGACGAAGTCAAAGCGTCACCTGTAGCAATACACTCCATTAGATGGCACATTACTGCACCTTCGGCAAATGGACATGCAAGTAAACACAGAAAACTGCAACTGACACTCAGGTATAAATACTGGATATGCTACTAAAACTGGAAAGAATAGTTTCTCCTGCCCTTTCATTTGGTATCTCATAGGACAAGAGAACAACATGACTCAAGTATCTACTTTGAGATTTTGTTACGATCAAGTGTGCATGTGTGTGCACGCACGCACTTGAGGTAGTTTTACTAAGATACTGTTCAGTGGTTCATTGGGATTATTTCTACAAAGAGACTGACATTGCAGGTGATCATCATTAGTTCTGTTTAATTTGTAAACAGGATTTACAACTCAACTCTTAGTACGGCTTATGACCTGGTTTGCACATCACATTAAACCACATTTAAAACAAACTGGTTCAGTGTGAATGAGCTGCAGGCCCTTTGGTTCTCCCCATTCCAGCTTTGTTGCAGGGGAACATGCCATAGTCTGTCTTGTGTTGTCTGAACACAGGCTAGTTTGTTTGGAAGAAACAAACCACACACAATAAGCAAAAAACCTTGGCTTCTGATCATGACCCTGGGTTCAGATGACACACCCAGCCATACTATGGCTTGTTTTCCTGCAGCACAGCAGCAATTGGAGGAGAGGCAGGGAAAGAGAGGCTTTATATTATGCTCATTAGTACTTACTTCTCTTCTGTTAGAAAAATATCAAAGCAGCCATTGGCCAATATCTGGTCCAGCATCTTTAGCAACGGTACAGATACCCTATTGAGGAAAACACACAGAAGACAGAACAACATGTTTGACACCACTTGCGATGGGACTTTCACAGTTCAGATTAAAAAGAGAAACTTTTGCCAAAGTTCATACACTTCTGTCTTTTCATATAGCCAAAACTAGTTTGAGAGCATGACTGAGAGCTAACTGCACACTTAGTGTGATCATAAAGCAGTAGTCAGGTGGTAATACAGTCACACATGTTTGCAGTGCCCATATGACCATTCTCACTTCATAGGGGGAATCACACACTGTGGTGTTTACAGGGCAAAACTAGATGCTCTTTGTGTTGGGGTGAGAATCAAAGGAATACTTTCTCCCTATTTACCAACCTGCCGGATTTTTACTTTTTCTCCCAAAGCCAGGATCTGAAACCAGGTCTGCCCAGAAGGTAGGAATCATTTGCAAGGAATCAACATGCAATGAAAGGGATGGGGAGACGGGACTGTGCACCTTCCCTCCTGCAAAAACTTCCCTGCAAGTGCCCTCACCATCACATTCCTGCTATCTTGGCAAGTGTGGGCACCACACATTTGCAAGGCTACTGTCCAGTTCTGCCCACAAACAGTGCAGGTGTGAAAACTTGTGACGCAATGGCTCTCCAGTATCCAGAATCTAACACAATACTTGGTTCGTTTCCTAAACAAAATTTGAAATGGGAAAAACAAAGTGCAGAAGTTCAAACTTCAACCATTTTAGCTCCAGGGAATGGTCAGATAAGAGTCTGCAAGAGTTTGGCAAGGCTCCTGGATTCCTTTCTGTAATTTATACATTGAGACACACATCTGAATATTCCCATTAAGGAGTGGGGCGTGTGCCTGCACACAGTCATTTTCTGGCTGTTGGCCTACATACCCTTTCAGAATGTGATGAGGAAATAGTTTTACTGGCAGTGTTCAAGCATTAACATACACACCCTATCCCTCATCTGTTTCGAAAATTTAGAGCAGAGGTGGGGAGCATGTGGCCCCTCCAGATGTTGCTGGACTACAACTCCCACCACCCCTGACCACTGGCCATGCTGCTGGGAACTGGAGTTCATAAACATCTGGAGGGTCCCCACCTCTGCTGTGGGAAAGCCTGCCTTGGTTTAAGAACGCTTTGGTTTAAGAACGGACTTCCGGAACGGATTAAGTTCGTAAACCAAGGTACCACTGTATCCATATTAATTGTGCATGGTGACACTGCTCCCTGTCCTTGGGATCTCATGCCCTATATTCTTGGATGATCAGAGGCCTACAATTCATTTCCTCACCTATGTTCTAGAGCCTGCATCCCATGTTTCCTGATAACTCTAGTGTTTGTTCCTCCAACATGCTGCTAACTGGCTACCACTCCATTGGTCCTCTTGCCTATGCACAGGAAATAAATGCCAGAAGGAACAAATGAGTTCTTCTGGGACTCATAGTTCATGAGAGAGCACATGTCACATCGTGAGGTGCACGTTTCTCTTCTAGAGTGCTTTGTGGGACCATAACACCAAGTTCAGAAATAAGCCTCCATTTGCCCCTTGATAATTAAGAGGTAGCCAGCAGCAGAGGCTTTGCTTTGTTCTCAGTGCTGTAAGAATACAGTGCCAAATTTGGAGATTAGCCTGTGACTGCTTCCATGGCTTGAACACTGAATCAACTGATATCATATCCTGTGTCAGGTGACAAGACAGGGAGGCAGAGGTGGGGGCCAGTTCTGGATCCTCAGGCCAGATCCAGTTCCCCATTCCTGCCATTTAGTTATGTAGCCTGTGCTCCATTCAGGAAAATATCCCCCAAATGCAATTTGGTTAGCCAAGTTATTGTGCCTTCCTATCTCTTATGCCTGGCAAATCAGCAAAAAAAAATTTGGCCCACTGACTTGCACTTCTGGCCTTAGGCTTTTTCATAACCATAGATTCCAAGTCAAAGAGAGTAGAATGAAAACTATAGTGACTTTTTTAGCGATTTATCTGGAAACACAGGAATACATTCAGGAATGTGCCCAACAAGCCCCTATAGAAAGATATAGGTTACCTGTCATTCAGCAGATTGTCCTCAAAGACCTTGAGCAGTGTATCACAAAATATGTTCATTGCATCCATATTGCTCTGAATTCCCTTCAGATAGCTGAACAGGCTCTGTGATGAGCACCTTACCTGCAAGTGAAAAACACTTCCAATAAACAAACATGAAAAGATTAACTTCAGCCTTCACTATATCTCTGAGGGACTTTTTTTCAGACTGGGGGGCAGGGGAGAAGAGAAAATTGATTTTTGAGGTTTTAAAGTCGATAGGAATTCTACACTACATGAACAATAGGGAAAATGCACTTCAGTATCCTTTATAACCAAGGACCCATAACAACCTGGTAACATTGTGCCATTTCAGTTAAATAGGAAATGTAATTGGATGTTTAAACGTACAGCTAAATAAGCAAGAAAAGCAGCCAGTGGCATGACACATTTTGCATTTTATCCAGGAAATATGTGCACTGCTAACACAGTCCCTTCTACATGTGCACAGTGTTTATAACTGCTAAACAAACTTGGATGGAAGGGAGAAAACAAGGACTTCTTTCCACAGACTGCTACGTTTTATGGCTACTGGGGGATCCTGCCTATGTTTAGGACATTACCTTCGTCCACCCTCTGTGACTAACCCTTAAGATCCAGACTGCAGTAAGATTCACAGGAACTACTGCACTTCTAATAAATTCAGCACGTTTTGTGAGTCCTTAAAGTTCTTTTAATATGGTATAAAGGCACAAGAGAACAATGCCTCACCACCAGTGATTTTCCAAACAGTAAGATAAAGGCCTACTCAGCGATTCGTATTTCTTTTCCAGTGCAGGGGACCGGTGAATAGTGCATTACAGCCCATTAGGGCCAATAAAAGAGAGCATCATTTCTGGATTATTTCAGATGTTGACATATTGACTACCCTGAAGTGGCAAAAATATAGAATCCTGTCATTAGCATTTGGTCATGCTGGACTGGATCCAGAGCAAGTTATGTCCTACTTCAGTCCCATTAAAATCAACATGGAAATTCATACACCACTAACTTAGAACACATTAAAATCAATGGGAGTTAAGTGTGACTTAGGCTCCAACCCGGTGCATCTTTTCTCCACTGAAAGGATTATACTGAGCCTCTGCCTCTGTACTCTTTTGCCTTCCAGTCTCCTTAGTGCTGTCTCTTCCTTTCCCTTTCAAATGCTTTTAATATCCATTTGCAAACTTGACAAGCCATCCATGGGACAACTTGGATGCAGAGGCACTTCTTTAACAATACTAGAGCTCCAAACTGTATTCAAATACTGAACTGTATGTTCCCAGTCGGAAGTTGCCACCTCATCAATCTGAAAAGCTCACCTTGTAATGCATTGACTTAATTTCACGATTGGGAAAACAGTACGTTGACCCACAAGAACTCATGGTACTCTCCTACTTTTATCAGCCACTTGATTATGCTGTCACTTATACCAGATACAACCTATGAGCCCACTTTCGTATCCTGTGTGACAACACTTTGTGCTGTTTTTCTAGACGAATCCCTCCTATGCTACATAGTTTCCTGCAGCTTTCACCTTTGGTTTGATCACTAATGGCCAAGATGAGAAGGTTGAATATGTCAGTTGCAGTTTCACAAAACAAAAGTGAACTTCAGGCAGGATATTATTGCTGCTCTTCAATTTCCCATGGTTTGTAGTTCATGTTTTTCTATGCACTGATCTTTATCAAGTTATCAAAATACATCTAATGAAAAAATGCAAATGTGGCTGTTAGGATTAATCTCACAAATTATTTTGAAGGGAAAAATTGGCAATCCATTGTGCAGAATGGAAATTATTGTTTTGACAGAGCACAACAAGGCCTGACAGAACCGATACAAACTTTTGTGTCTAGAGCTGTTTTCTGACTACAACTCCCATCATTCCTAATTAGCAGGACCAGTAGTCGGGGGTGATGGGGATTGTAGTCCAAAAACAGCTTGAGACCCAAGTTTGGGAAACCTTGAGTTACATAATTTGAGACAGTGAGTTTTTCTCAGCTACAGCAGCTCCCTCACTGAAGAATAAGAGCCACTGTGCTGTATAAACTAAAAAGAATTTAAAATCTTTTGTTCGTTTCATAGTTCCATATACTTATCGGAGAGACATGAGCTAGAACAGTGTTTCCCAAACATTTGCTAAGTAAAGCACATTTGTTTCCCAACTTAAAATAGGAAGCACACTTCATTCTTACACTCCAAAGGTTTACATTGAAGAGTGCAAACCTGCTGTGTTCACAATAGCTGTGTCTTCACAATAGCAAACCTGCTGTGTTTCTGGGCAAATAACTTTTCCAGGTGCAGCTCCCCAAAGGCAGATAAATCTGCTGCATCTCAAGAACATAAGAATCATGCTGGAACCAAAGGTCTACATAGTCCACAGTCTTAATTCTAACAGTGGCAAGCCAGCTGCTCCTGGGGAGTCCACAAGCAGGGCAGGAAGGCAAACATGTTCCACGCTGTTGCCCCCATATTGCCTCTGAACACAAGAGGTTTAAAATAGCTTTTTATAGCTAAAAGCAATGGATACACCTATTCTCAATTTGTCTAATCTTTTAAAACCATCTAAGCTAGTGGCAATCACCAAATCGTGTTGCGCAGAATTCCATAAATTCATAAATGTGCAATTCATAAATCTGCACTGGGAAGGACTGACTGAACTGAACAAACTGATGCAAAGATAGGGTAGAATTACCTGGCTCCAATGGAGGCTAATGGAAATATTTCAGACATTCAGCGAGCAGTCCAATTTGTAGGTGGTATTTGGGGCTCACGGGAGCATTTTAATTATTTAATGAATGCATTTTCAGAGGCACACTAGCCCTTCTTTCATGTCTGGAAATTACTGGACTACAACCCAAGTAAACTGAGATATTCTAGGGAGGTCTACAAAAAGCTAATGATTCAACAGTGTTTTTGAAGCGGAACAGAAGGTTGTTCTCTTAAACAAGCAGGCAGAGCCAACAATAATAAAAAGAGCTGGAAGCAATCAAACTGTTTACACGTTTCAAAACTTAAGTGTAACAAATTCTAAAAACCCAACATGAAAATATTGGGGGCAAGAACCTCTGTATGACCTCTTGAAGTAACTCAAGGCTATTTCTCTGTCTGTGAAACTTGGGGTAGGAAAAACCTCATATTTAAAGCAAAATTAAATTTACTCTCCACCTCATTATGAAAACCCGCAAGAGTTTGACATCATGAACCGAACATTCAAGCATTCTACAAATGTGAAGGCTCAACACACTTAACAGTGCTGGAAGCCTGATGGTCTGTTGTAGAAAGAAAAGGACCAGAATCAGGTTCAAGGACTCTTGCACTCGCATGATTCTGAGTAGTGATATTACACCACTGCAAAAACTCAAGGCAGTGCAACTGTGCATGAAATGAATGTGAACAAGGACATAGTGTTGCAGGGGCAGGATCAGAAAGGTGCAATGATTTCATGAATCCTGTGCTAAAAAGAACAAGGCTTCCCAGACACTAGTAGCTCAGCCTCATTGGTAAGCTGCTATACAGTAAGTACTGGGTGGGGAGACTTGCAGAACCAAAGCACATTACTGCAACAGCCTGCAAGGACATTGATGGGCAGATGGGATCGTGTTCTCACTGGCCAAACAAAGCTATGTGACTAAGCTGAATTTCACCAACACCCATTTGTAAATGGAGTACAGAGAAAGGACAGCAAGTAGGAAAGAGGAAACACTAAGCTGCCAGTCACTACCTGATGCTGATTAGGTGGCAATGGTGTCACAGCCCTCTATAGGAACCTATAGGGCTGAGCTGTAAGCTGCCCCACATTCTTAATTTACTTGTGACTGCCAGTAGTGATAATAAAAATCCTCCAAAGTTAGTTTCATTTTCAGAGGCAACTAAAGCCGGAAATTACAAGGAACACAGTGACAAGTAGAAATGCTTGTTAAAAGCAAAATGCAGTTGAAGTAATTTGCAAGTGAAATAAAGTTAGAATACCAATAGGTTTCTAAGGCTGTATGGCGTCTGACATTATCCAGAGAGACTGGCAAGATCGTCAAGTTGTGCTCAAACTGTTGTGCTCTTCTGGATTTCAGAAGCCTGCCCAAGAACAAGGTGCTAATTGTAATTTATACAGAAAATTTGGAAAATGGGGGAATGAAAGGCTATGTTTGTGATGTTTTGGCAGGCCTCTCCATGCCAGCATGACCTCAGTTTTCAAGAAAGGAGATGTTGGTGTGGGGAGGAACTGCAGTGTGGACTTCTCTCATTTGGCCTCGGGTTACCAGAGCTGTGCCTTAGAATAAATGAAAAGAGGTATGTAGTGAAGTGATGAAAATTGCTATATGGAAACAAACAGAGATGAACTGAACCAGGCTTCAGGCATGCTAAACAGCAATAGGCTGGGTGCCTCCCACACTTTCATACCCCAATAAAAGACTTTAGCAGTACAAACATCAGCAACTTGCTTCCAGAAATGAACTACTACCTGAATTGATACATGGCTCTTAACATAGTCACTCTTAAGATAGACGCCGCCTACCGATCAAACATTTTCTTAAAATTCACTTACTGTTGATTCAGTCAATCCACCAACGGACACGGTCAGTCCTGTCAGAACATGGTATTGATAAGATGGCAAACTCAGAAGCTGTGTGATTCTGGGAAAGGCTTGCGATGGAGCATTCCAGTTTAAGGTTACTGCCTCGGACCTGTCAACAATAGAAAAGATGGTCCCTTTTGAAGCAAGGGCAATAGAAAGCAGGTAACATAAGCCTTATTTCCTCCTAAGCACTGGTTTGTTTCACCAAAACTGCTGCTAAGCTCTGAAATTTCCATTTTTAAAGTAGAAAAATTATCCACAGAAATCAAAGCTGGCATCCTTTGACAGTAAGACTCAGAAATGCTCTTTGTCAATGCAGCAGTATAACCTTATTTTAAATGGGGCTTTCATAATGTGCTATTACCATTAACTGTATTACATATTAACACATTTTAAAATTCAATTGAAAGTGCAATCCAAAATTCAGTCAAAGACACGTAGGGGGGCCACAAGATGCAGCTATGCCCCATTCTGTTGGTAGAGAGAGATCACAGCCAGTGGGACAGCACTTATAGTGCCACAGGTACACCCAGGGAAAGGTTGGCAGGTGCAGATGTCCTGCTGGGGTGGGGGTAGAGCAGTGAAACATTTTGGGTGAATACCAGGAATGGTGCAAGGATCTAGAATATCCTGGTCCCCTCATTCTTTCTGCATACAGACACCCAAAAGAAACCACCAACTACCCCAGTCCTGAAGCTCCTATAGGTAATTCTTTCCTGCTGACCACGAGGGAGCTATAAGGCAGGAAGCCAGCAAGTAGTAGCTCTACCATGGAATTTCTGCATCAGCACCATAGGATTGCGCTGCAAAATGCAGGAATGCTTGAGATGCCAAGTTAAATTGTATGCACAAAGTATGCTTTGCTTACATCAGCTTCTGAAGCATTATTTTTAACAAATCAGTAAGTAAATTTTACTTACTTTTGGAACTGCTGATAACTCACACCCTGTCCGAAGTCTGGTTACTGGATTAACGAAATGACCAAAGGTGGAAAATCCCACACACTTGATAACTTATGGCAGGGATGGGGAACCTGTGCCCCCCCCAAGAGTTGTTGAACCCCAACTTGCTTCAGTTCTAATCAACATGGTTAATGGCCAGGTAGGATGGGAGTGAGAGTCCAACAACAGTGGGAGGTTCCCCAAGCCCCATTTATGGATCCGGCCAGAACAAAACTTAGGTTGCCTTCTCTAATAAACACAAATAGCCACTCTGAATCTCAAAAGTCTACTCCTAACAAGACAGAATGAAATATTCTCTTTAAACATATTTCTAAATAAAGAGTTCTTTCATGTTTATGGGCAAATGTTTATTGTGCAATTCTATGATAAACCAATGAGATACTAGTTACCTTGGAAATATTTTCTCTAAATCCTCCCGGTGGGGTATGTGTGGAATTGGAGGGTCGTCAAAGTACAGAAGTGTGAGGAATACAGATCCTGCATGGGCTCGAAATCGGTCGATTTTTTCAGCTGATTGCTGAGCCACACAGCACATGATCCGCTTGGAGCTGAAGTTTAGTACACAGAACACTCATTCATTTGGAACGACATATTCCAGAGAAACCTCTCCCTATATGACTACTCCCCGTCCCCATTAACATTTCCCATTCAGACCCTGCTAAGGATTCCTTCAGCAAAGGAAGTGAGAACAGCTGTGTAAAGAAGCTATACTTTTACTTTGCCCTGAGATTTACAAGGGGTGGTTAGACCAAATTTCTCTCCTAGCTTTGAAGACCCATGAAGCACATCTACTCAGCTTGCCTTTTTTTTTTACAAGATTGGCAAAACAGCTGTTTTGACTGCTTTCCCTGTGCTGACTATTCTTTATAACTGTATCTAGCACAGTATTTTTAAGGTTTTAATTCTTTTATTATAACCCATATAAAGCTATAACTTTTTAAATGTATAATTATATAAAAATAGATACAGTGTTTCTTGGTGCAGGAAAGGCACAATATCTATCTTAAGCGGGAATAGCTATTAATGTAAAGCAGTTTAACAAAGAAGGGATAATCAGAAGCTACAATCTGCATTCCCTGTACTCACAACAGATGCAAGATAGGCTGTGCTCCAGTTCTTTCATTAGCAGTATTGATGGAAGTAACTGAATCCCATAGGTAGGAGGGATTACTGAAAGAGCCTTTTACAGAAACAGCTCATCACCTAACCATACAGCAGGCATTCACAGATTATATTTGCAAAATACATACACATTTGCATCGATTAGCTCTGGCTCAGTCCGTGCTAACAAAAGGGTCATTTCCATTAAACTGGTCATAGCAGCTTCTCTCACCCTGTTAAAATAAGCAAGTTGTCATTGTAAATTTATAACTTCTTATGGACATGCTTCATGTAAATCTACATTGCTTCTATGATCAGAAAAATATACTTTCACGCCACAGTCTCATATATCAGTGTGCTTTCTTCCAGGTCAGTCTCTGTGATATAGAATGCATACAGCCCTGGATGTATAACAAAAGAAGAGTACAAAACAAAGAACCATTCTAAGGGCCAAGTTATAAGTCCAGTTAATTGCAGGAAAGCAAATGATGTGATTCTTACTTTACTTCATTAGTAGACAGCAACTGTTGAGGAGGGTGAGCAGAATTGGGACTGCATCCCAGCTGGGTGTTAACAAAGTAGGATGTGGTACAGAGGGCTGCAGTGTGTGTGGAGGGGGGGTATCAGCAGAAAATGGGTGTCCCAACCTGCGCAAGCAGAAGCAACTTATTTTCATCTACACAGTGGGATGGCCCAGAACATTTCCTTCCTGATCTCAATAGAGAGTTTGGCTTCTTTTTTATGCATATGAATACTCCATGTGTTCACATAATTCAGCTAAAACCTGGTCTACAGATGCATTACCTCTGTGCTTCCAATGAGTATTTAAAGAACTATTAACCAACTTTAGTAACAGTCCTGTATCTTATCACAGTGGCCTGCCTTTTGTATTTTTGTACTTTTCCAAGGTGGAAAGGGGCAAATGCATATAAACTCTGAAAATGGGTGGACAAGTAAGTGAGAATTAGGCTACTGGGGGGTGGGGAATATAAACTGCATCATAGCGTTTGGCAACCTTTCATCAAAGAATACTTCTTCCTCTTTTTGTATGACATCTTACTATTAAGGTACTCATATCCAACACCTGAAGACAGTTTATGCGCTGGGACATGTCCAAACTGTCAAAAGGAATGTTAAGTTTGCATATGGAAAATACAGTTGGTTAGCTTTCCCACGAATCTTTTTTTTAAAAAAAGATCCAACCAAAGCTTTCTTCATATACAAGAGCAATTCTTTCCTAAACCTGTTTTATACATAAAATACATACTTTTAAGAAAATAAAAAAGAGCAGTACCAAGTAGGCAAGATTCACAAGAGTGCCCTTCCAGCCAGTTCTTAGGCCAAACCACTCATCTTTGTTGCAAGAAGAGGGGCAAGACCACCGAGAGCTTTCCCATCTTCAAGACCTCTCCTCAACCAACAAGCTTTATTTACTGAAGAAATGTCCACACCGATCTTTGTGAAAATATCTCCACAAAGCAGCTTATAACAATATTTAAAATCAAAACAGCATTGCAGTCTAATAATAATAATAATAATAATAATAATAATAATAATAATAATAATAATAATAATACCATTTCATGTCTACTCTTAAGAGCACAACAAAAGCAGTCAGCAATAAAGCAGTCAAAATCCAAAAGCCAGCATAAAACTGCAGTATGCATTAACCAGAAGCCATCAAGAAAATAGCAGGACTTCAAGGCCCTCTTAAACATCGACAGGGATGAGGCCTGCTGAGTCTCAGAAGGAACTGAGTTCCACAATTGTGGGGCCACTGGTGAGAAGCCTCTGTTACAAGGGCTGGATAATCTTAACAAGTGGGCAATGTAGCAAGTCCTCCAATGCCAATTGCAAGGTATATGTAGTTTGTTAGGAGCGCCACAGATTCTTCAGGGTGTCAAAGAATTACCTTTGACAAACCCTTTCAATTGGGCCTTGATATACATGGGCAACCACTGCAACTGGTATGGTATAGGTGATGTTCCCATAACCTGGCCTCAGCCACAAGTTTCTGGTTGCAGTTTCCAGCCTTCACAGGCAACAGCACACAGAAAGCATTGCAGCAGTATGGTTTGGCTGCAGCAAATGCATAGATAACTGAGGCAAGATAACTATCAAGCTGGTAAGCCACATGTGACCCTTCTAGATAGGGTCACATGTGCTGTACCAGCTGAATTTATCCTAGCCACAGCTGCCACCTGAGCTTCCTCAGTTGGTGACAAGTTCTGGATCATTCCCAAACTGCTGGTGTGGTTCTTCAAGGGGAGTGCAAAAACACCTAGAACCATATATCCAGAGACAGCAGTTCTCTTACTCATACACCTTGGTCTTGCCTGGATTAAGCTTCAGCTTGTTCAGCCTCACCACCTTAACTTCAATGTTTGGCTGGGAATTTTATAGGTGCTGCACTTTAGTTTCAAGACTGATGGTGACTGTAATGTTATGTCCTTATGTTTTGATTAGTATTTGTTTGTATCCCACACTGAAACCTTGTGCTGAATATTTTAAATAACTACATTTTCTTGACGCTAAAAAATAATCAAGAAGAATTTTAGATAGCTACATAGCTTATGTTTTCTAGGCATTGGGCACTTGACATGACGTTACACTATTCTTAGATTTGGGGCTCAAAGATGAAGACTTGAGTTTATTACGCTTGTTATGTGGTTGGAATGGAATGAAAGCACTTGTTAAAGGGTACAAAGTGTAACGATTTATCTTATTTATTTGTAATCATGACTCGACACGATGTAACAGTGGGAGAGTGTACATTGCACACCAACCAACTGGAATTCTCACACGAAACTATCAAAAAAGCTTGAATTTTGAAATTTTTCTGGCAGAAAGGAGGTTGTTTATTAATGACATTTAAATCCATGGGCTTCAGTGCACCCAAGGCAGAGCTGGATTTATGCCATTGTGTTTATGTCAAATTAGCACTCTAGGGAATGTAGATAGTAGAGATAGCAACAGCTCATTTGCTTTTAAAATAATATGTGCAAATGCTTGCAAAAGGTAGCAACACGTATGAGAGAGCCCAACAGCTGGTACAACTGCGCCCTCTGCTGTCTAATCACCAGCATGCAAGTTAAGCAGTCAATCTTGTTACTTGGGCTATAGATATGCCCTAGGAAGTATTAAAACAACACTAAAGTACCGGCAAATGAAAGTGAATGGTGAAAGGGATGGGAAAGTCTTTAACCTTCTTGCTCTATGAATTACAGTCATCCCTCCACTTACATATCCCTCCGCTTACATAAACTTTGGGATACGTAAGCGGCAAACCAGGAAGTATATTTCTTGGTTTTTGCCACGCACACGTGCGCAGAAGCGGTCTACTGCTTTGCACATGCACAGAAGCGCTCTACCACTGCGCGTGCGTGCACAGAAGTGGTCCCTCCGGCTGTGGAAACCTCGGGATCTGACCGGAACTCCAGAATGGATCCTGTCTGCAACCGGAGGTACCACTGTATATTTTTCGCAAGTGAATGCCCATCAATGGTATTCATGAGTCGGAAACGTAATAAAAGCCTTTAGCACACTTTTAGCATTTTCATTCTACAGGTTACATTTGTAGTTCAATAAAAGATACATTTGGGCGGGATAGAACTGAAGTGGCATCCTATTCCAGAATGCCTTGTAATATTTGCTGGGCTCTTTCTCTGAATCCTATCCACTTTTTGTCTTGATGGAACAATAAGCAACAACAAAGCCTTACCATACTCCAACATCACCCCGACTGTCCGTTGTGTAATCATTAAGACCATTCAGCAATATGTTGTATATCTCCGTGACATTATTTCTGCATACAACTTCAGCTGGTGATCCTTCCCCTTTCACCCCTACTGTCAGGCAAACCCTGTAGGAAGAGGATATATACACACACACAAATCACTCACGTATTAAAATTTGTGCATTAATAGCAAACCTGCTAAACATACTTATGAAAGGTATCAATTATCGATGTTCATGAAATGTACTTTCTATGGATGTTATCCTAAAACTGTGGGCTTCTGGAAGTGCTCTACAAGCTTCCAACTCACAGGTGAGTTCCTGGCTCTCAGGGAACAAGTTTGATCTTCTGAGTGCAAGAGAGGGAAGGTGGTTGGTGGGTGAGGTCTTCGGGGAAAATGAAAGCAGCATCTTACTCCCAAGGGTGGCAGATTATCTGCTGTAACATGGACCCGGGGTATTATGGAAGGAAGATGTCACTCTTAGGAAGAGGGAAATCTCTTAGAAGTGACTCATTCCTTGGGAGATGAAGAACTATCCAACTGTGCTGTGGTTACTCCTCTGAGAAGCAGGGGCCCTAGTAGCAGGTCTGATTATCAGAGACATAGGTACCTGGGTTTGTGGTGGCCATGTAGATCACATGGCCACTTGCCACACAGAAAGCTTTGAGGGAGCCACATTCCAGCAACCCACAGGGCCAGGCACACCCATAATCAAACACACGTACACAGAGACACATAGGGCCTAAGTGAGCTTTTCACAATAACCTTCTTCAGGCATTTCCAGTAAGGTGTGAGGAGGCAGTGGGGATGTACATGTTAGCTCCACCTGCCTCAGCAACAGTCTCTTCATCCGTCAACTCGGGGAAGGCAACCTTGTGCAGCAGGAAGCCTGAGGGAGGCTGTTTGAAAACCCGTTTGAAAACCTTATGGTCCAAGTTTCTAAAATGCATGGGGAGCCCCCACAAGTACAGGAGAGGCTCCCTACTTCACATGGTCATTTCCCAGGAGTCAGAGGGCAGCAAGAACAGTGAAGAGGGTGCAGAGATAGTGCACCCATCCCTACCGTGATGACCTAACCCTTCCTGGTACCACCTAAGGAGGGCTTCTGTATACATATGCTGCAATGGATTGGTTGCGACCAATACAAATTACATGTGCAGCAGCCCAATCCAGACTGGGACAACAGTGGTGGGGAAAGGGGCGGAAGCCCTTCTATCCCCCACACTAGGATCTGATCCAGAGTGTGCCTTAGGGACTGAAATTTGCTGCTTTTCTGTTCCTTCCTGTGCCAGCAAAGAACTCAAGGTCATGTGGGTAAGGCCCCAGGAGCTAGACAAGGTTCCCTGTTATCTGATATAGAAGGACAGAGTCTTAAAAACAAGGCCCACACTTTCTCCTCATTAATGGCACTCACATTACAGGGCAAATATAAAGGCATATACAAAACAAACTGTTGAACATACTTTGAAATAGCTTTTAGGCCATCTTTTCTGGATTCAGCAAAGCTCACATACTGAGGGGAAATGGAAGTGACTCCCTTTAAGCCGTCTAAAACCTGGAACAACACAATACAAAAACAGTATATGAGTATTGTACTCAGCTTGCTTGTGAGAAATTATCTAAAAAGCAGTAGAAGTTAAAAGTGGCTACACACACACACACTTACTTTGCACACTTGACATGAACACACAACCAGTAATCTTGTGTTTGCTGCCAGGCATCTAGCTCCATCCTAAATTCACCCTCTGTTTGTGTGACAGGTACGAGATACAAAGACTGTCCAATGCAAGCCTCCTGATACTCCTTCACTAACATGCTCTATCTGACAAGGAAGGATAGCCTTTCTATAAGGCAAAGGTGGAGAACTGGCCAGCCCTCCTCAGGCCATTTTGACAGCTGGGCAGGGCCACCCACCTGGCATCATATTCAAATGTATAGCCACAGCTACAAAGGAAGAATAGAGAGTCACTCCCAATTCTTCCTTTGGAATGTGGTGCCACAGCTTCACCAGTACAACATCTAATGTCATATGACATCATAGGTGGGTGTGGCTTCACCAAAATGGCCTATAGGCCAAATGGGAAGGACTGCTGGCCCTCATGGAGGTTCCCCATCACTACTGTAAAGATATAAAGCTAATTTGTCTCTTTCCACTTAACTCCTTCTCATAAGTGTGCATAACACTTGTTCTTTTCCCTGGCACAACTCTGAGGTTTGAATGTCTAACTATATATAAAAAAATCTAAGCATTTTATTGTTAGCTTTCCTGCTTCCCTTGCCATGGAAGAAAACAGTGACACCCCCAGGAAGAGTTGCCCTATGTGGGCTACTGAAGAGTGTTGCTGGAGAGCAATACATGGAAGGGGAAACATGTCACATTTCCTGCCTTAAGAAATGCACACATCCATATGTATTAGTACAGCAATGGGTAGACTTCAAGCCTGAGAGACCTACCCATATTTTTCGCTCTATAAGACGCACCAGACCACAAGACGCACCTAGTTTTTGGAGGAGGAAAACAAGAAAAAAAATATTCTGAATCTCAGAAGCCAGAACAGCAAGAGGGATCGCTGTGCGGTGAAAGCAGCAATCCCTCTTGCTGTTCTGGCTTCTGGGATAGATGCGCTTTCGCTCCATAAGATGCACACACATTTCCCCTTACTTTTTAGGAGGGAAAAGGTGAGTCTTATAGAGCAAAAAATACAGTATTTGCCCGCTCCACAATATGGCAATAGTTACCCATCGCCCATTGCTTGGTTGCCTTTTTTTGCCCTATTATGAATATGGTGTCTATCTCTCATCCCTTCAAAGAATCATTTCCACAAGAAACTAAGATTAACACAGAAACCTTGACAGAGATTTGGTTATAAACCACCAAACATGGTCTGCAATACTGTATTGTTGTATGTTCCTTCATGATATTCCTTTAAGCACTTACAAAAAAATATTAAAAATATTAAATCCCCACTCTCTAACTCACCTCCTGAAGCTTGCCTTTTAAAAGAAACCTAGGAAGGGCACCTAAGGCTGATGAAAGGCCACACCGAGTCATTTCCTCATGGCTCTGAAGGCCTGAAATGTATTGATTCACCAGTTCATCTAGATAAATACAAGTCATAGTATCATTAATTAGAAATTGGCATGGGGTGGGGAATGGGGAGATTGCGCCAAAGTCCTAGAATATTTGCATAAATTATTTCCAGAGAGAGAGAGAGAAAAGGTGATTTCAAATTGCTGCAGTCATTGTCTAGTCATTCAAATGATTTACTATGGAAATTTTTTACTGTTAGGAAAGCAGGACAGTGTACTCAACATGACTGTGCAGGCCTAATTTTCTTCAAAGTTTCATCCTTTCACAACTGAATTGAAGGATGTGTTCTAAGGCAACAACGAGCATAAATCTACTGAAAGTTCCAGCCTTGCATCTCTTGAGGAAGATGCTTCACTGGATTCCAGGAAGTGGTTTCCATACGCTGGAACCTGGTAACAAGGTGACATTTCTGAAGGAATTTCTCTGCAGCACAGCTGTTGGAGGTAGTGCTTGGTTTTTAAAGTGAGAGATGCCCACATTCGTTCCTGCCTGGAACTGCAACTAACACTGTTATCTGGAAATTGTGTAGCTATGAAGGGGCTGGTTGTGATTTATCAATGCCAAAGGAAAGGAGTTCTGAAACAACTCAAATGCATTTCCTTTTTTTATTATTGCTTTACACTGTCTGGTTGCCAAGCCCTGATACTGATTGTAGAACCAAGCCCAATGACCCTGGCTCAAATTAAGACCACGTTAAGATGGATTTTCTTAGCACATGCAGAGGCTTATTACTTCTGCTTAAATCAATTCATCAGTATACTATACAGTGGTACCTCGGGTTAAGTACTAAATTCATTCCTCGGGTTAAGTACTAAATGGGGCCTCCTGCTACCGCTGCGCCGCCGAAGCACGATTTCTGTTCTCATCCTGAAGCAAAGTTCTTAACCTGAGGTACTATTTCTGGGTTAGCGGAGTCTGTACCCTAAAGCGTATGTAACCTGAAGCGTATGTAACCCGAGGTACCACTGTATAAACTTTAAGATGCTCAGAGAAGTATAGAATGGGAAAATACACAAACACACACCTCAAAGAAGCAATGTCTGCGAACATCTGAGAAACAGCACAGGTATTTTAGATATCTCTAAACTATTTGTGCAAATATAAAACACTGAGGCCTGAAGCAACACAGGCACCCTACTCTTGTCTATATGTCTTGTGAGAACACCCAAGATAATGAAATTTCATCAGCACTCATTTTAATTTCAAAGACACTTTGTTAGCAGCACAAGGAACCAAATTAAAAGGTTGCAGAAAACTCCGCATAGGCTGTTTCTTGATAAGTACCCAACAGTGCCTATGGGACTATAAGATGGCACTAGTAAGAAAATGTAAATGCGATAACACAATGAAATACATGATCTCTAAACTGTTAATTTAACAGAAATAATGGCTACAAGCTAAAGCAAGTGTTGAAGAAAAATACAACAAATTACAGAGGGAAGAAACTGCTGGAAACAGGGAGAATGAAATTATGTATAAAAATATCACTACATATAAAAAAGAAATATGATAAAAAGGAAATTATGTATAAAAATATCACTACATATAAAAAAGAAATCTGGGCATCTTCATTTCCATTGTGAAGCTTGTACTTTGAAGATGTAAGCTAGATCTTCAAGCTATGACCAAAACCCAGAGCATCAAGCTCTACAGGTAAATTATCATGCCCAACTGTGTACAAAAACTAACCATGTTTTGCTATGTTACTTATTAGGGTGGAGGCCCTGTAAATTCTTCCAAATTAGAGGATAGCTGTTGGGGTGTTGCTACCCACCAGCAATCTTACTCTAATTAATCCTATTTCCCTCCAATTGCATTCCTCTCCCTTTCAGGCTCTCTGCAGGGTAGGTTAAGAGAGAGAGAGAGAGAGAGAGGGAGGGAGGGAGGGAGGGAGGGAGGGAGGGAGGGAGAGAGAGAGAGAGAGAGAGAGAGAGAGAGAGAAAGTGGTAGAAGGCTGTGCCTGGGTGCCATTTGCTGGATCATGCCTGCCGGCACCAGCTGTTTTATGCATTATGCCTTTTTCTACTTTATGCATAAAAGGCTGTATTCAATGTAATGCTAATTAATGAATTCTGCCAGCACAAGGATTTCTGCTTGCACAATAAGGCCTTCTCCCTTCTCCTCAGTCCGCCCCTGCCTCAAATCTGTCCAAGGTGTTTCTTCAAGCTTCCAGAGCAGATATGAGGCAGTTTCTGGATGTGTGCAGGGGGGAGGAGTCCCATTGCATTAGCAGTATTATAGCACTTATGGAACACCCCAAATACCACCATAAAAGCTCTGATCTGCAAATTTTATTCCCGTTACAAAACTTTATTAACTCTAACTCCACTGTAGAGAAGTAAAATGGTAGTGAAGAGCTGATTCAGAAGTGCACACTTTCACTGCTTTAATTCAAGTGGCACTTTACTAGGCATACTACAAACAACATTGTCTCACACGTGTGCAAATCAGAATTCTTTCATTTCTCCAAAAGGGACAAGTAATGCTGCTGTCACCTCCAATTAAGTGCGCCTTAGAAGCCCACATAACTGGGCTGGTCCCGAGAAGTTGCTAACCACTGAGAAGTTTATTTAAGGACTAGTTCTGCTCCTGCAGGAAGTTTTCTAGCTAACAAGATCATCACAGGCTATCCCTTAATAAAGGCAAGAGACAAACATTATGAATCAGTACCTTGCTGAGCTGGATTTGCTCCCTCCTCTTCAATGTAGTAGTATTCATTACACAGAGCAGCTAATGCAGCGACTGCCGATTCCTAAGACAAAGGCAAAACTCTGTAACCATCAAAAGATCTTTCCTTTCAACTGTACTACTGTAGGAAAACCCAATGAATAATCCCTCTCCCTATGAATAATTTTACTGTAGTTTGCTATGGGCCCATTCATAAAACAGCTGAAGATAAGCTTTGCATTCCAAGCAAGGAGATTTTCAGTTCATGACTTGTTACTGTTTAGGAGATAAAATAACACTCCAAAGTATCTTGGATCACGTTCTCCATTCAGGTCTGTCTGAAGGCACAGTAACTAATAGCTCATGACTTATAAAACTGTTTTAAAGCTCATCAGTAAAATTTTATGGAGGCTAAATTAACAACCCTGAACCTAATTTTAGTAGACTTAAATTAAAGAGTTGAACTTGCAACAGAATTTACTTGATGCTTACTCAACAATTTGTTCTAATTTAACTCAATTTAGCACAAGAATAGATGCATGATGTATATATTGCCTTCCATACCTTTAAAAGCAAACACTAGTCAAACCAGCAGAGGTTATTTAGGCTTTAAGCTTCATTGTATACTCGCACAATGATCCCTCTCCAGAATAGCCTATGGGGAGAGATGGCATTCTGGGCAGGGCCCATTAGGTTTGGGTGTGGCTGTATTACAGCCAGCTTCCTAAATGACTGTAGCTTTTGCCATGAGCTATGGAGCCTCTCCTCACTCCCACAGATAGGTGGGAAAGAGTGGACCATCATTTTATTTATTTAAACGAGAAAAAACTATACAGTATCACGCAAAAGATTTTATCTTTCTGCACACGTCACTTATGATCAGGCAGTAAATTTACAACAACAACCACCCAGATGAATTCGAGTAAAGAGTATCTCAATTTAAGAATGTGCTTGGTTTAATCTTTTCCTCATTATAAATATAAAATTGATTACTTCAGGATGAAAATGAGGTTCTGTCCTTTCACAGACACAATTAATTTACACCACATGGAAATACAGGCCCAAAGTGCTCTTGTGTTGTTATATACAGCACCTGGGTAATTTAAGAATACCTTGAGAGCAACTTTCATAATACGAAAATATTAATGTTTTCTTTTTTATCAAAACAAGCAACAACAATACAGATACAGCAAACTGTACCTTTACTTGTTGCTTTGCATTGCTTGAAACAAGGTGGAGACTTTTGAAACTGTCATTTATCAGCGACTGCCATTCAGCTAGAGGGAAAGAAAGCATGTTTGATAATACACTAGTTACCTAAAATTAAACATTCCAGTATTCATCACCTTTTAAAAAACAGCAACTTTTAATATATTCAAAGGTTCCAGAGTGTGTTCATAAAAACTCCAGCTGATCTCTGCAAATTTAAGTGTGCATCTTTATGGATTTTTGTTCCCAAATTAAATGTTTTCAACTTTGTTTTCAATTTGCTTTTGAGATTAGTGCATCATCTATCACTGGGGTCCACAAAGGCCTTTTCCTGGCACCCAGGGTTCCCTTTCCCACTAAAACAAAGTTTGAGAGAAGCATTCTGTTATAGATGGAACATTCTGTTGAGTGGGGTAGAATTGCTGTCCCAGGTCTCCTGCAGATGACATTACTATATACAATTTCCTCCATGTGCTGCAGCATTTCACAGAATCACAGAACTGTAGAGTTGGAAGGGACCATGAGGTTCATCTAGTCCAACCCTGTGCAATTCAGGAATACTTTGCCCAAAGTGGGGCTCAATTTGGCCAATTCTTTTCTGAATTAAACTGAATATGACAAACACAGTCATAGCATCATGATGCCAATGACAGCAGGAGGCAACAAGCAAAAATACTGGGTCATGAAAGGCATGTTAGGACATTCACAGCCCTAAAGAACATCTTGTGACGATAGAGAATAAGCATATCTCTGTGAGCCATATTTTTGGCAAGTGAAATCAAAAGGACTGTGCATTTGAGTGCAATTATAATCTTCAATGTGGGACGAGGGTGGCGCTGTGGGTAAAACCTCAGTGCCTAGGACTTGCTGATCGTAAGGTCGGCGGTTCGAATCCCCGCGGCGGGGTGAGCTCCCATTGTTCGGTCCCAGCTCCTGCCCACCTAGCAGTTCGAAAGCACCCCTAAGTGCAAGTAGATAAATAGGTACCGCTTTATAGGGGGAAGGTAAACGGCGTTTCCGTGTGCGGCACTGGTGCTGGCTCACCAGTGCAGCTTCGTCACGCTGGCCATGTGACCCGGAAGTGTCTTCGGACGGCACCGGCTCCCGGCCTCTTAAGTGAGATGAGCGCACAACCCTAGAGTCGGTCACGACTGGCCCGTACGGGCAGGGGTACCTTTACCTTTACCTTTTATAATCTTCAATAGACAAAAAGACAGAATAAATTTAAACCATCAAAAACATCACCTACCTATTATGGGATCTCCTCTAAAAGGCATTTTTGAAAGTGATAACTTTTCAATTAAAGCGCAGACTGGAAGAAAACGAAGAGAATACAATTTCTGAAAACAGCAGAGAACAATCCTGTGTCAAATATGGTCCTCTGAGTTCAGTGGCTCTTGTACACATATATTATACAGACACAGGGTCAGAGCTCAAGCAAATGTAATAACAGGCATACTGGTATTGCTACACAGTAGATGTGTTGCACTGTGAATATGCATACTGATCAGCACAAAAAGTATTTTAACAGGTATTCTAGCACAAGATATATTCTAGCACTACACTTTAGTGTAGCTAAAGTTACTCCCAACCTTACCAACTGAAGCATACAGAAATGGCGCAGGCAAGTCCCAAATTAAGGCTCCCTAGGTTTCTGCATATAGTGCATCCAAGTACTCCTTGACTTAAAGTTAGTGTGGAACATTCTGCTTGTATAGAGCTTTTTCAAATGGAGCCCCTATGTGCAGGCTACATGAGAACCCCTCTGAAAAATCATTCTTTTTGGTGGGATACATCTGCGTTCCTTGATACCAACAAGCAAGAAAACAAGTTTTATGGTGGCTGTTAAAATGCCACCAAGGAGCACTACCAAAATGGAACCTGTTTGTGTTTTATCTGCACTGCATTAAAAAAATAAATGGGGGAGGTATTTTTTAGGGTAGAGTGAGCGGACAAGGTATGGTTTAAGGGAGAAGTTTGACCTTGGGTACAAATTGAAGGAAGGATTGGCAGTGTGCCTGGTGAACCAGGGTAGCAGCTGAAAAAATGAGGGAGGTTCAAGATGCAAGATTCATTTCCAAAGTACATTTACTTATAGTCAAAAAACCTGAGAAATGCATAATACCACAGAATGCTATATAATAAACATTTGGATTAAAAATATGTGTGTGTGTCATGTGACGTACCAGCTGGCCTCATTAGTTCTCCACCTAAACCCCTGAAAAAGGAAAAAGGAAAATGTATTGGCTGAAAATCTCAAATCACTATCTTTACGAAGAATACAAAGGAACGGAAAGGTAAAATTCTCTTCTCTGTCTTGTTAAGATTCAAAATCAAAAATAAATTAACTCTTCCATCACTTCATCTTGCTTTATGTGAAACCTTTTACATGATGTGGCAGTGCAGAGGAAGAGGCAAAAGAGAGCAAGCTATCCTAGAAAACTCATCTGTCTCAAGACTTTGAAGTTAATCTCATAAATCCCACACGTGCTTTGTTTTGTGAAGTAATTCTTAGGTTTATCTAATACCCAAAATAAATTTATTTCATTGTATGGCCTTGTGCTCTTAACATTTTCATTGAGAGAGTATAGTGCTTCTTAATCCACTGCCTCTACACGATGCATTACACATGATCTATACAGATCATCACTTGGTAATGTGACTTCACTGCTGTTGCTGATATACTTCACTTACACAACAAACAGAAATCAAATTACTCTCTTCTGAGAAAGTGTTTCATATCACTCCTATTTCTGTAAAAGAAATCTTCATTCCAGAAACAGATAAAGAAAACCATGAAAAAAAAATGTTTTTTATGTTCTTCAACAGATGGCTGATGACACTTTCTCAAAATCCAAGAAACCACGTCTCAGCTGAGCACCTTCAGGGCACTTCAGCTTGGTTGCTCTTCAGAAAACAAGTTCAGCTTGTTTGGCAGAGTGCTTGCCTATTAAAAGCTAAGTGGCTTGCTATTACAAAATGATCCAAAGCAGAATATTTTATATACCATTTAAAAGGTATTTTGATATCCTGAAACTATGTTAATATGCTCACAAGTGAATAACTCAATTATGCAAAGTACTACGTTGAAGAGAAACATGATGCTTGTTTGAAGTCTAATTGATAAGAAAGGCACTATTAAGAATCTAATGAAACCGATAAATGCAAACTTGCATTTTGTGAGGAAAAAGTCAAATTATACCCTAGCCTCACCCTGACATTAAAAGAATTTACAGAAAGTATAACAGCCAGTGTGATACCTCTATAAATATGAACATATTATGAACTAAGGCAGATTAACCAATGTGCCAAATGAAGAAAGCTGTCTCAAAGAATGGTTCGTATTTAATATAGTCATTTTGCTCCCAGAAATTCTGGTTCAGTCTTACATTTCAAAAACATGGAAGTGAACATGTACTACACAGAAAGACAATTGAAAAGGTGCAACTAAACACACATCTGGTATATACTTTCCTATCCCTTTCCAAACTTGGAATTGTTCTTAATAAAACAGCTGTGACATATATAATGGACCTGTATATAAGGGGGATAAATTCTAGAAGCTTGAAAGTGTATCAGTTGTTTCCTGTCTCTACATCCTTTCCCAACAGACTCTCCAATTTTGAAGCATTAAGTCTGCCTCTAGGCTCTGTATTTTCAGTTCGCTTCACCAATGTTCCAAATTTTAAATGTTACAAAATGAAGCATCAAGAGAAGGAGGCTTTAAATTAGGAAAGCAGGAATCTCTTGGCTACTTCATGGACCAATGCCATGGTGTTTACTGTACAAGACAGAGTAAGGAAGGTGTGTTAGTTATAATTTTTTACCTTGCCTAGGGTGGCAAAATACCTTGAGCTGGTCATGGTCTCAACATGGCACCCCTTGTCTGCCTGTTGTGCATCCCTTGAGATGCCAGACAGCCTATGCAGGTTGCTATAAGACAGGGTCACACTTTCCACTGGGCTGTAATTTTGTATGGCCATCATAAAAGAATTTCTAAGACAGGCTGCTCCAGTCATGCCCTCTATTCCAAGCAGCAAGTTCTGCTGTGGCCACATGCCAGCCAAGCTATGCTTACGCTTAGGAAACACAGCACACCCATGCACAGAGTCAGTATGAAAGCAGGCACCCAAGCTTTTTTGTGGACTGCGTATTCTATGAGGCTTTTTCTTTATTCTTACAATTGAAACAATCTACTTGGCATTAATTCTCTTACCGATACAACTGACGACGGCAAAGCTGTAAGAGAAAACTGGTATTAGATACGGAATAAAGAAGTTCTATTTAGTTCAGTGAATCTCAAATTGCAAGTTATAACCCACAGCTAGTTCCTGAGTGGACCACACAACAATGGGAATCTGGATCCCAAAAGGTTATGTAAATTTACCAACAGGTCCCACTTCAAAATGGCTGAGAAACACCAATTTAGTCAAAACTCCACTCCATAGAAATATGTTAACTGTACACAGTATTTTTTATAAGAGTACAAGGATTAAGTTTTTGTGACATAATTCGGTATTGTTTCACCCATATTTGATCATACGTATAGATTTTATCACTGATGGCTATCAAAATAGCATCTATTTTCCTAATAATAATATTAGTTATACTGGTACTGCCCAGGAAGCTCCAGTAATAGATCCCACGTACATACAATATTCTAAGTAATTCTCTGCATGTTTATGTTGAAGAAGAAAATTCACTTCATTTCAAATCTCATATAGACTTTTGTATAGTACTTTATGGAAAAAGTTAAAATATATATCCAAGTCTGCATTACTGGTGAGCCACTTCTTCTGTGAGCCAAGGAAATCCATTGGTGCAGGCAGCAGATTGAGAGGAGCAACAGAACGTGCCACCTGCCAGTTTTTGCAGGGCTGGCTGCAGATAGTCTACCTCCCTACTACCGTGCAGCTGTGCAGCTGCCATTGATATGTCCTATCAGCCACAGCTGTCGGGCTATGGTCCACTTTGGGAAACTCCCTCAAACATTCTGTGAGCTGCATGAAGGTGGGCATGACATCTAACAATGCACACATACCAAATAATTCTTACATTATCGATTTTAACAAAAGAAACTTTCCCATTTAAAGAGTGCAAAAACATTTTCTTTTTCATAAGACAGAATTTGTACCAACCTCCACATGAATCTGTTTAAGTCCTTCCAAGGCTTTTTCATCCAAATATGATGTAATGGATCTGCAAAGTTAAAAGCCACCACAGAAAGCATCAGAGGAATACTATTATGAGCTTCTTTCTGTCACATGTGAGGGAGTCTTAGAAACCTATCTGCCAGTGGCAAGACATTATTGGAAAGTATAGATGCTTATTCTTCTCTCTGAAAACCAAGGTGACAGTCAAACTTCTAAAGCCACCAGCGTCCCTGACAGATGTCACACAACTGTCCAAACCAACATTAGGCATTTCTTCCCATATTACCTGTGAGATCATCATGTATTGACTAGTAAGTTTATCTTAAGGTTACCAGATTTTTTTCAATTAATCTGGGGACACTTTTCAACTTCAATGGATTTTGTATGGGGACTGATTTGTAAATCCGGGGACTGTCCCTGGGAAATGGGGACATCTGGTAACCTTAGTTTATCTAGTATTACCTGTTTCATAACCAAAGCTCTTGAATATATTTATAGCCATTAAAATATTAACAATTCTAGCTTTTAACTCCCTTCCTAGGTGAAATTATGTTTTCTTAGATCTCTTAGCTAATTCACTGAAAGAAGTTCCAACTAATTCACATTATCTTTCCGAGGCACATTAATGCACCCTGGTAAATGCCACCCACAATGAAGAAAACCACTGATGTGGATAAGAAGAGTATGATGCTATTTTTTCTTCTTTAATTTTCTACTACCCTCGTTTTCTTTCTGATCATAGTAGTCTCTAATATGCAGAACTTAAATGCCAATATGAACTCTACCATAATGCACTGGGGGAAATGGTAGTCAACAACAATTCATCTTTGTATCCATGCCTTATTTATTTATTGACCCAATTTATAGACCGTGTCTCACTACAGTCTCAAAAAAATGTATAAAAACAATTCCATAATGATTTTGTCTTTTTACCTCTTATTTTCTTCTGCTAGTTTACTCAAGGCGTGAGTGATCTCAGCACAGGCCAGAATTGCTCCGTGGCGAGTATGAAGATCTGTGCCAATTGCCAATGGCAGCAGTTTTGGTAAAACTGCAAGAGATTAAACATGAATAACTTACAAATTTAAAAGGGCAAACAGACAAGAAATTGTCCCCTTCCAGTCTGAAGACTAGATGCTGGATCCCTAATAAAATGACAAAAGTGGAGTAATAGCTGTCGCTTACTATTCACATTTGATAATGCTATCTTGAATTCATTTTACATACATTGAGAAGTTTGCAAAAGTATGTAAATGACTAGCATCTGCAGTTCCCTGGTTTAATTTCCCAAAGACGTTAACACATTTCTTCATATGCTAAATACAAAATCTTTTCACAAGCTAACCACATGTATTCTACTCTAATGAGACAAAAGCCTACAGTGTGTTAACATTACTCTTAAGACAATGAGTTCTGTATATACATTTAACCCATTATAGGATAAATTTCTCTCTCTGTTAGAGACACTTAATTACCTTGGTTGTTAGAAATATTCAGTTTGCTTCTCTATTAGGCACATAGGATTAAGGGCTTTTGCAGTAATATTCTAGGTGCTTTAGATCATAAGCTTGTTTTCACTCACCTTCATTTGCCATATATTCTGGAGCCTGTGGTGTGATATTATGCAGAGCTTTGGTTGAAAGATCCCGAATAACACTGAAAGATTGAGAGATAGGGAGAGAATGGGGTGAGGGATGGGAAGCATGCAGCAGATGTGCTTATAAGGCTGGCATATGAACTCAAAACACCTAGTTCACGAGTAATGACATTTCCAGTGTCAAGCTAAAGGCAGGAACTTAAAACTGAAGCTGCTTTCAGGAACATAATCAATAAAAGTTCCTAGGAGGCAGCAAAGTTTCTGCCTCGAGATAATGCGCAGTGCTAACCTCACTGGGCGCCCAGGAGGCCAGAATGGAAGATAGATGGCTTCCTACAACATGAATGAGCCTTGGGCCCGCATGCTCCCTATCCCTCTCCTATTTCACTTGGCAAAGGAAGAGGCAGAACCTTCTGCTCCTGATTTTAAAGGAAGCACAGTTCCCTGTGATATCTGAATTTAGGGAACTGTCATTTGCTTAAATTGGTGGTTTTCAACCATTGTGCCACGGCATCCTGGGGTGCCTTGAATGATGATCAGGGGTGCCACGGGCAACACTGGCCTCTGTCCTTCTTTCCTTCCCTCCCTCCTTTAATGCCTTCTTGCTTCTCTACCTCCCAAAGGCTTGCACAGCTGTTTGTTGCAGCAGCCCTGCTACTGCCCCTGCTGCCCTCAAGGTGCTGGCCTCATGTCCACCTCTAGCCAGTCTCCGTCTGGGGTCATTCTCTGCCCAGGCCCCTGTGGGGTGGCATGAGAAGGCACCTCTCTTTGGGGAGGGGGGCAGCTCAGACACCAGGGGTGGCAGCAGTGGCTGCCCAGAGGACTCCCAAGGAAAGGGGAGGAGGCTGAGGGAACTCCACAAGGGAGGGTGTTTGAAAAAGGATGAGGCTGCCAGCTCTGCAGGCAAGGGGTGACATAATTGGGATCCTGAGTCCCACAGGGGTGCCGCAGAAAGAAGGTAGTTGGTCAAGCGAGCCATGGACTCCAAAAGGTTGAAAACCTCTGGCTTAAATGATAGAGAACAATTTAGGTTCACAAACTGTGGCTCCTCACGTGAGCAGGAGAGGAGGAGAGGAAAGGAAGATGTATGAGCTCAAGGCTCACAATTGCTTGTTGACAGGGCAGGTAAAAATGGTTCCTTGCTGCATCTGAACCACAGGCTTATCTCATTTCTTAGGGTCAAAACAACACATTTAAGTACTTGTACTTATTCCAGTCTTAATAATTAAGATACAAGTTTCACTATCACACCTGATTTTTATCAGCTATAGGTGAAAGTCAACAAATGTTAGCAAAATATAACAACAAATTGAATACAATAAAAGCAGTCTCACTACGAATTAATTTAGAAATCAGCTATACTTTTCTGATCAAAATACCAAATCCCCACATATTAACATAATTAAACTTACGGATCCCAGTGGTTGATCTTCATGTTAACCAGGTGATCAATCATTGACTGTGTATACTCAGGAAAGCCAGCAATATATACACTGAAAGGAGGTGGAAAACACAAAAATTACAAACAGAAATTTCCTCCAAAGGTTATTTCAAAGTCAATTTCAAAAAGAACCCAATAACCCCAAACTGTCCAAGGCTTACCTGTCGTGGCACAAGTTAAGGAAGGAATTTAATAGACATATATGTGAAGTCAAGATTGACACATATAAGCTTTTCATTTATGTTTGCCATCTCATCCCAAACATATACTAATATTCTGCTTTTAACCAACACAGCATTATGAAAGCCAATGCTGAAATTAACTTTATATTAAAAACGCATGTAAGCAAAGGGGCTGGCTAAAATGAAGTGTGAATACGTTTTTGTAGAGAAAGTATTAGCATCATGGCCATTGCTGGGGGGGGGGAGATGTTTAATCAGGGAGGGAAATAAGTCATTTCTCTGGCTTATCTGGGGTACATAACAGAGAACCTGGTATTTTTTGCTATTTTATTTCTACTGCTTAGTAAAATTAAGGCTATTTCATTAGTCATAGTCAACATTAGTAAGAACTGGCCATCAAAAAAAGAAAGTGAAAGAAAATAGAACCTTCAGCTCTCCTCCAAGAATGTATGTAAAAGTGCTAACCAACTTAGATTTTTGAAAAGTTTAAATTAGCAAGATAAATATCTATGGATAGAACTGAATCATTCCATTAATTAAACAGCACTATATCGAAAGAGTAAACTAAAAATCATGGATATTTTAAGGTCTGAAGGACTCCCAGTCTAACATTTTGTGCTAAGGCAGAACAACCTATCCTAGTATTCCCTGAAACATACTGTAAATAAGCCTGTATCAACCAAATTATCATGGCAGGGCTGCTTGTGTAGGATTGCCATTTTCAAAAAGTAAAATTCCTGACACCCACAAGGTTGTTCATCTTTTTTTGGGGAACAAATCCAAATTGGGGAACCCCCCCCCCAAAAAAAATTAGTGATTTTAAGCTTTTGGAGCTGTTTCTGCTGCTTTTTCCATACGTTGCCATACATCTGGGTTTTCCCTGACATTTTGCCGAGTAGGCAAAATTCCCCCCTGACGCCATTTTGACACCTGAAAACCAGGACATGTCATACATGACGTATTGCAAGCCTATGCTTATGCAACAAGAATCTGTGTAGCTAAACATACACAGTTCACAGATGCAAGAGAAGGGATAGCATACCTTACAGTAGGCCAAACCCTCTAAAATTACTGATTGTTTATGAGTCATGGAAAAAAATAATTTACAATCAAGGCCCTGATCAGTTTTCTCCATGGAATGGGACATTTGTACTTTAGTTCAAACCTAGTCAATCCTCCAATTATGACCTGTTCATCCGGTAACTCGAAAGTACATAAGAAAAATGGGAAAGAACTGCCTTCCGGACCCATCACATTTCCTTGTTTTTGTTTTGCTATAGAAAAGAGTTGGGAAATTGGCTGCGTGTAGGAGGAAGGTGTGTACCAAAAAAAGCAAAGACTAAAGGGAGGGTGGAGTGCCCTGGAAGAGTGTGGGCTGAACAGCTTAAGGATGAAAGGGACAATAAAAAAGATAATTTAGAAACTGAGTAAGTAACAAAAACAAAGTATGCTCACACCGCAGATACCTAAACAAGCTACTTTCTTCAAGGCCTGCAAATTGCCAGCCTCCCTTCAGTTCACCATTACTTGACTTGTATTCAGTAAGCACATTAATTCATATGGTTCTGCTGGCCTTAAGAATATTCTTCAAAGCTGATGTACAGGAAACATTTGGTTTAGAACAGATACACATAGTAAACACAGTGGGTTGGTAGAATTCTGGACTGTACTACTTCAGACAGTAAGTGGGGCTCCCCCCATGTTGCTTTTTCAAAACCCCTGCATGCAATGAACAAGCAGAGCCAGAAGGGGGCTACATCATTAATATATTCTCTCTCTCTCTCTCTCTCTGTGTGTGTGTGTGTACACACACTATACCAGGGGTAGGCAACCTAAGGCCCGGGGGCTGGATGCAGCCCAATCACCTTCTAAATCTGGCCCATGGACAGTCCAGGAATCAGCGTGTTTTTACATGAGTAGAATGTGTGATTTTATTTAAAATGCACCTCTGGGTTATTTGTGGGGCCTGCCTGGTGTTTTTACATGAGTAGAATGTGTGCTTTTATTTAAAATGCATCTCTGGGTTATTTGTGGGGCATAGGAATTCATTCATTCCCCCCCCCCCAATATAGTCCAGCCCCCCACATGGTCTGAGGGACAGTGGACCGGCCCACGACTGAAAAAGGTTGCTGACCCCTGCACTATACCTTTAAAGCACATTCGAAGCATACTGTTCCCCTCAAAGATTTCTGGAATGTGCTTTAAAGGTATAGTGTGCTCACAGCCTCTGCTAGTTTATTATATGCAGGGAGGTGTTTGTTTCTTCGTTTGTTGTTAATTGAGGGAACAGTCAAATACTAGCAATGGTAGCAGCCCAACTTCACCACATGAAGTTACCAAGGAGCTCAGCCTTGCTATCATTTTAAGTATCACTGTCAGCACCTTCACTCTAGGAAACTCCCATTTTCCCAAGGAAAACATACTAAGCATAGGCTGAGACACCCAGAACAAGAGCATCAGCACGCATATGGACAGGCGTCATCCAGGAGACAATGTTTACTTGGACTTTCAAAAAGCTTTTAGCAAAGCCCCTCAACAAAGATTCCTGAGCAAATGTGGTAGTGATAGAGAGAGGGGGAAGTCCTCTTACTGATCAGTAACTGGTTAAAGCACACTTATTATAACTTGACTACTGTATTCTTGGAAGGGGTTCCTCCAAGGATCTGTATTGCAACTGGCACTTTTTCACTTGATTCATATTTAGGGGTTTCACTTGGTTCATATCAAGATGGTGAGATGTGCTGGTGGCAAAAAGTTATTTAGGGTGGTAAAACAAAACAAGGTAAGTGAAGAGTTCCAAAGGACCTCTCTAAAAAATCCCCGCTTCACATATATGAAGATGGGGTCTGAAGTGGCAATGACTGGGCAGGAAAGAGATCTTGGGGTTGTGATGGTCACTGTAGGAACAGATGCTAGACTAGATGGGCCTTTAGCCTGATATAGCAGGGTTCTCCTTATAGTCTTACATTCTTAAGAAGAAAACAACACCATAGACTGGCTATTCTCCTTGATCACATTCACTAGGAGTGACTTCTGTCAGTTTTGCAAGAAAACTCCAGAAATGTCAAATGTCTTCCTTTCTGCCTAGATCCTAACACAGTCAAGCCATCCAAGGCATTCCCACCAAACCGAAAATCTGAGACCCCTGATGAAAATAAGCTCCATGCCAGAAGCACTAGGAAACTATCTGCAAAACACATCCCAGTATAGGTACTCAGCTAACAACACTGATGCACATACATCAAGGGAAGGAATCGCCAACCAAATTATGCAAACAGGACCCTATTTTCACCCCAGATATTTATATTCACCACCATGACAAGGAAGCTTAGCACCAGTTAATACTCAAGGTAACGTTACCCCTCTTTGTTTCTGGAAACCCTCCCTAAGGTAATTGAGCCATAAAAGATATCTATATAGAACACAGTGTTCAACTTGAGGACAACTAAGGTTGTCCCATCTACATTAAAGCTCCCTCTTATTTAGAATTGCCCACCATCTTATCCTTTCCCCCCAGGTTTTCCTTCCACACCATCATGTTACTTTTGTACTCAGTTCTTAATAAGGGTTTCAAGGTAACACACACCTAGGCAGTGCTTGCGATCCCACTTGAAGCCTCCATCCAAAGAGGCTAGTATAGTAACCTGAAAGGGCTCTGCTTGGCCCCTGGCCCCAATGTAGATTTACTGAGATAACATAAGCAACATTTGTGTCCTGCTGCCAAGGACAACCTCACAATCCAGGGCATCCCGCTGAAGAAGAAAAATTATCCCCCCCCCAACTCAGTTTGGTGTAGGTAAATGCCCTATTTCTTGTAAAAGAAAAGGAAACACCATGTGGCACCCTTAATAGTGCCTCTCCTATTAAACATAAAAATCAGAGGGATATCTATGGACTTCTACTTAAAATTATTTTACAAATAGTGAAGAACACAAGCACTTCCAATTTCACTCAGTCTTCTCACACAGAACATTGCAGAAACATATTGTTCACAATGTTCTCCAATTTCCCGTGCAACCATAAGTAGAACAAGAAAGACTTTTTTAAAATCCAAAATTATCTGCATCTCACCCATAAATTTAAGGCAGAGGAGGTGCTTACATTTAGAGACTCCTACCTTATATTGAGGAAACAATTCGCTCTGCTTCCAACCGCAAAATAATCAGCTGCAGTCAAAATGTCAATCCCATGTGGGAAAGTACCCTATCAAAGTTAGAAGAGAAAATCACATATAATCACATATAATCACAGTAGTAATACTGGGGAACATTTCACTTAGGTAGACACAAGAATACCGTATTTTTCGCCCTATAGAGTGCACTGGCTCATAGGGCGCACCTCGGGGTTTTTTTTTGGGGGGGGGGATGAATAAAAAAAATTTATTCCCCCCCCCAGCCGCGGGGTTGGGGCGGGGGAAGCCCGAGCTTCCCCCGACCCCAGCCCCCAGAACAGGCTGCTATCCGCAAGCCTTGTGAGCCCGGCAGCAACTCCCCCTGGACGCGCAAGGCTTGCAGACACCTGCGCGAAGCACGGGGCGTCCTCCAGAGGGCGCCCCATGTTTCGGGCTGCAGGCTGCTGCCCGCAAGCCTTGCGAGCCCGCGGGAACTCCCGCCAGCTTGCAAGGCTTGCGGATAGCTTCCTGAAGCCTGGAGAGCGAGAGGGGTCAGTGCGCACCAACCCCTCTCGCTCTCAAGGCTTCAGCGAAAGCCTGCATTCGCCCCATAGGACGCACACACATTTCCCCTTCATTTTTGGAGGGGGAAAAGTGCGTCCTATAGGGCGAAAAATACGGTAATTCCCAAAGAATTTGTCCCATATTAGCATCACAAAAAACAATGGAATCCAAACCAGGAAATATACAGATAAAATGGTGTGGCTACACAGACAGGATTTGGTTGAGCTTTCAGTACCTCCCACTGAGATCTAGAACAAAGGCTGGGATCCATAAGGCCAAACAAATTATTATTATTATTATTATTATTATTATTATTATTATTATTATTATTATTACCCCACCCATCTGGCTGGGTTTCCCCAGCCACTCTGGGCAGCTTACAGCATATATTAAAAATTGTAACACATCAGACATTAAAACTCTCCCGATACAGGACTGCCTTCACTAGGAATTTTCTTAACCACCTTCCCATTTCAGCCCCCCATCAGCACCCAGAGTGTTAGGAGAGTGGCCCACCTCTGTGATACCAACTATCCCAAGCGCAATGTCACCACCTGTTCATGTGACTCTGATGCCTTCTTTGTGCTGTTAGGGAAAAAAGCCTCTCCTTCTGGTGAGGCAGCTGGAGTTACCGGTAAGTCCAAGAGTGAGCCATCTCCATTGACTTTGCCACCATCTCCAAAGGTGCAGAGGCAACAGCACCTGCTCAAACAAACACTGTAGCCTCAAACTCTATGAAGCCGAACAAATTTGCTTGCCCAGGCTCAGGATGGCAAATAGCTGTGCCTGCTTCGCTCTTCAGGAGAGCACAAGGAGTGTGTCATGTGTTGGATCAATGTCTTAACTTCAGCTTAGCCATGCACTGTAGATCTCTACCGTGCCTCATCCATTGGTAATCTGTAGAGACCCATGTTGCCACCCTGCACCTACCTTCATTGAGAAAACCTTTAAGACTTCCATGGGTGAGCTGGGGAGAGGCAAAACCTTCCACATGGTTGGTTGGCAGGCATTATCAGTCAGCCTACCTTCAGAATTTTAACTGGCCAATTAGAGGCCAGACTGTGGGGCGGGAATTTGGAGACAGACCTGAGTAAGCCTGTCTTCACTCAGGTCTGCCTCCAAAACTTAAAAAGACAGCTGTGCTGCCTTCCAGCAATGCAGTCGGCATCAGACATCCCACCCTCCCAACCTGTATATATTTGGCCCCGCCTGAAGGGAAGCATGGTGTATACGCATATGACTTTACAGTGGGCTGAACTGGTTGTTGTAGTCAAGGCCAGGGAGGAATTTCCCTGTAGACTAATTGTCATAACTTGTTGGCAGAAAAAAGCACTGGGTTGGATCCTTAGTCTAATCGGGGTGTGGGTGTGGAAAGGAGCCTTATCCCCTCTCTCCTCTGAATGAAAGTATCAGGGTACCCTGGCAAACTGTTCTCAAGGGGAAGGATTCTGTCCATATGCCCAGATGGGAGCTAACAGGCCACAGATCACCCCAACTGGCATTCTGGAGGGGTCACTCTTATTTGGTGTGCATCAACTGGGGGTGTTTAACCAGGATTGATCCTGAAGTAGTTATCAGACAGCAACAGGGTTAGCTGATCCAGGATACATATCCAATGCTTAAGCAAAACTCTTCTTACACTTGTAATCCATTTGGATGTGGCTATTTCAATCACAAAAGGTGTTCATGTCATTTATTGCTTCCTATGCCTCTATCATGGTGACCCCAGGCTTACTGCACCCTCAAAGGCATAAATTTCTCACTCCCTCACTTATCAGCTTTCCAACCTTTACTGCTGCAATTTCCCCCACCTCCTTGAACACTGTGACATCTTTATACAGTCATACCTCGGGTTACAGCCGCTTCAGGTTGTGTTTTTTCAGGTTGCGGACCACCGAAACCCGGATGTACCAGAACGGGTTACTTCCAGGTTTCGGCGGTCGTGCATGCGCAGAAGTGCCGAATTGCAACCCGAGCATGCGCAGACACAGGTTGTGAATGCTGTGGGTTGCGAACATGCATCCCGCACAAATCATGTTCGCAACCCAAGCGTCCACCGAGCTTCCTGGGACCTATCACTTTTATTTTACTTGTTTTTATTGCTCCTTCCAAAGTCCAAGGGCAATCTACTAAGCCAGATCAACATTTTAAAGTTACAGACATCACACTCTCATGTCTTTAAGTTAAAGTGTCAGTATTTGGGACAAATCTATCAGCAGCTCATCTTCCAACAAAACACAGCTAGAGCCACAGAGGGGAGAGACTTTCCTAGCACTAGACTTTAATTCCTTCCAGTCATTCATTTTCTATGAGGGCTTATATCCAGAGTACAGAAAAGTAGGTTCTCAGGATTAATAGTTCAGTATTCAATCCGCCCAGAAAAACCCATGTCTACTGAGAAGGTCCGATGAACTGGGAATGAGACTTAATGTCACATGGGTATAGAACCACAGCCCAACTCTCTAGCACACCTTTTTTGTTGCTTGAAAATTCACTTGAGTCATTCCTAATTATTGATATATAGGTCACAGAGTTATTATTAGTTGACCTTGTTTTGCTTCAGTATCATAATGAAAATTTCCCTACAAGAGGAGACAACACATCAACTAAAGACAAAGTAAACTAGAACTAGAAACTAACCACCAAAATGCAACAAAAGTGAAACCATAGTTGATAAGGATGGATCAATTTTAGACCTTTTCATAATTATTTTTGTAAATAACTTTGTTTACATGCTTTCACCAGAGAACTATAAAAGTGTAAAATGGTCTAAAATGTAACTGTTTCAACCATATAATTGAAGTGCTTGAAGTAGAGAGTGAGACTTCCCATGCTGGGATGCCAGAAAGACAAAAAAATATGTCACAGTAAGTCTTGCTCATAAAAAAAGAAATGTGAATACAGAAAATTTGCATAATATAGGTTTTATTGCTTTCCCAACACTCTGTCATGGTTTGCTAAAAGAAAGCATAGGTTCTACTTGCCACCAGATTTAGAATTTAGAGAGAGCTTACAATCTAAAACAAACTATTCAAGTTGTTAGAAATTTGGTAGAAAGACCGGCTTTTAAAAATAACTTCTCTAAAGGAAAGCACAATGAAGTAGAGCTGAGGCATAAAAAGGAGACATATGAAACTATCTATCTCATGAAAAAAGGGTTTCCAACTTCAGCAATCTGTCAGGAGAAAAAAGAATGGGACAAAAATGTCATCTTTAAAGTGGCAGCAACCCTCGGGTTAAGTACTTAATTCATTCTGGAGGCCCGTTCTTAACCTGAAGCACCACTTTAGCTAATGGGGCCTCCTGCTGCCGCCACGCCGCCGGAGCATGATTTCTATTCTCAGCCTGAAGCAAAGTTCTTAACCTGAGGTACTATTTCTGGGTTAGCGGAGTCTGTAACCTGAAGTGTATGTAACCCAAGGTACCACTGTACTCAAAATGAGGTCATCCACAACACTATGTGCAACATGATCCACTCCCTCCTTGTCAAGGAAGAGGAGGAGGTGTTCAGCATAGCACTGCTGATTGCCCCATTTAAGTAGCTGTTGCAGTCACTTTAAATAGGTAACTCACAACAGTATGAGCAAGACAAAATTCCCTGATTGCTTGGCAAGTACCTCCCTAAGAGCCAGGAAGAGACTGCAATTTCACAGCAAAAAGTATAGTTGGTTGATTGATTGATGAGCTGTCCTTTTGGAGAAAATGTCATGCTACCTGAAACGTGATCTTTCATTGTGGAACGCTCACCCCAGAAAAAATTATCTCAGCCCTTCAAACAACTGTAATCAAGAAAACAGAAGGACTACACACAAATCTAACACTGTTTTTGCTTGCAAAACTCAGCAACAACATTATGTCTTCCGATGGAAAATAAGTCTTAAATCTCCCTTGTAGTCACGGGGAAAGTTATCTGGCTGATTCACATTACAAAACTGATTAGGAAAAAAAGGATCACACATACCTATCATAATTAGCAGCCATTTTCTTAGGCTGCAAGGAGTAATTTGGTACTCCACCCTGGGGAGGTGGTTAATTAGTATAGACTTCCTTCTTGCTGTCAATTTTTGTGACACAGTAGCAAATCTTCTCTTACAGCAAGAAAAGCAACCCAATACACAGGTCCTCTGGACTGATTTTATGGCATGTGAAATGAGCTGCTTCTTATAAACACAAGGCTCGAGGCAAATCTTTCACCACTCCCAAACAGATCCCAAGTTTCTTTCCTTTTGATTTAGAATAATTGATCTCCCCACTTTCTCAAGGCAACTAACAACAGTCAAAATACAAATAATTAACAAACAATTAAGTAATCAAATAAAAACCCAAGCCCGGAACCGTATGGCAAGTAATTAATAATCAGGATCAGTTTAAAATACCAAAAATTATAGAAAGCCCACCTGCACAAAAATTATTCATCTGGCAAACTCTCTGCAGGAGAGTGTTCCGGCACTGGGATGTGGCTACAGAAATGACCTCTTACACATGCTGATTAATCTAACACAAACTCATATTGGGATGGAGCAAAGGG